ATAAATAAACGAATTAAATAGAATATAAATATAACATTATAAAAATCATATATAAAATAAATAATAATTGAAAATAAATACATAAAAATAATAAGATAAATGTTAGGTTTAGGAAAAGATATGATTTTATAGATTTTAAGAGATTAAGTGAAATAAGAATATTTTTAAATGGGTTATAAATTTATCTAAATAGTTTTGGAAGAGTTTGTAGAATTATTTAGATAAATTATTGAAAGGAATAGAAGTGAGAAAGTTAGGAGATTATATAGAAGGGAGAAAGATTGGTTATTAATAATATTACTTTGTAGTGATGCAGTAGATGAAAAAAAAAAATAAGTAAGGTTTGTGAATATTATTTGAAGAGATAAGATAAATTTTCTGGTTGTATACATAGAAAGACATGTAGCAATAATTTTATGAAGTATTCAGAGGGTAATCAAGAAGTTTGGAGAAGATAGAATAAAGAAAGGCATAACAGTAAGAAAGTTCAGAAGTTCATTGAGAATAAATAAAGAGTTAAGGATTTAATAAATTTAAATAAATTGGGTTAAGGATAATTTGAATCAGTTTATTTATACCAGTTTAAGGAGAGAGAGACATTTTTTGTTTTGAAATAATTGACAAGAACACATTTACAATATTTTGAAATATAGAAACATATTTAATAGGAGAAGGCGAGATTGGAATATATGAATAATCCAGTTATTCTTAATTTTTTAGATAGTTATCAACATTTTATGTCTGAAAAATCTTAAAAACTTATGAATATTTGATGAATAATATTCGAGAAGTTAGATTAGGTGATTAATATACTACTTTAAAATCCCAAGCTATGAGTTTTTATGATTAAATAGAGAAAGTAACTAAAAGATAGAAGAAAGTATTTGCAAGTGCTCAGAATGTTGAATGGAATAGTGTATTTTGAATAAGTTGATAATAATAAATCTCATGATTTTATAAGTACATATTCTCTATCGCTTTTCCCAAATCTTAATACATCCTCTTCCAATAATTCATAATATCTTGCAGGTTCTAATTAATGCTCATTTAAATAAGTTCCATTTGTACTCTCTAAATCCATTGCGTATGGTTTTATATAAGATAATACTTCACCTTGACTATTCACTTTCTTTATCTCTCGAAATTAGATTACACAATGTTATTTAGAAACTGATATATTTTCTACTAAGATATCAACTATTTCTTTATCCTTTCCTATCAAAAATACAGACTTTCCCTTTAGAGGAATAGAAGCTAATTTTGTATTATTTTATATTCTTACCTAACGATTCTGTTCCTTTAAATGGAAATAATTACCAATTAGCTATTGGAATCTTTGCATCAAAAGGTATTGTAAATTTTAATACTTTACCATTTCCAAATGCATTTTCAGCATATTAAGCTAATATTCCAGATGCTTCAAAACAAGGTTTTTCTTTTATTATTTCCTATTACTATTATGTTTATGTTTATTATTGATATTCTTCTTTCTTTACATGTTCTAATTTCACCTCTTTCTTATGATGGTGATGATGCTTTTTCTTGTGTTTCTTACGGATACTGCTAGAATCAGATGTAGATCTCTATTTGTGTTTACCCATTAATTAAATTTATAATCAGTAAGAATCCATCTATGTAAATAAGTTAGACACTCAGAAGTTGCATTAACTTTCATAAATTAGTCTAAGAACTTTCTGATTAAGGTGATATCAATTTCAAAGAAAAAAACAAACTCAAATCTGATTTCAATTCCAATAATGAAGATTTATTATCATTGATTGAAGGTACTATATATACATCAATTATTAGATATGGACAACTAGAATCTTAAATAACACTTAATTGATTATGTCAAGTCTAAGCAATAGATTATTAAAGTAGCCAATTCACCTGGAATAAGAAGAAAATCACTACTTTCTGAATCTAGTCCTTTGATAGGTAGAAAAAGTGTATTCTCAAAAGAAAGTAAGGTAACTGAAGAGGATTTACTTAATTACATCAAATAACTTAGAGATGCACTTATAGAAGTATATCAATCTAGATCTAATGCATTAACATTATTAGTTTAAGATAATCTGAAGTCTTTGACACAATTCATTAGTAAGCTACCAACCAAAAGTCCATAACCATCTTTAATTTTATTACAAGAAACTAACATTGTAGATGATATTGAATCATACTATTAACAATTAAAGAATCAGTTTTTAAATACACAATCATTGTTGATTAATGACAGCATAGTCTCAGTAACTTCTAATTTAGTTAACAATTTACTTAATTGTGATGAATTCACATTCATTAGTCCATAATAAGGTATATACGAATCAGTTAAACATACTTTTGCTATCTTTGATCATAATTAATACTTAGAAGATTTAATCTCTATTAGTAACAATATCAATTTAGTTACTGAAAATTAAACTAAACTATCTGAAATGTTCTCTTAATATGCCAGAACATATTCCTTTAGAATATAGGATGAGTTCTTCTTCTATCATTAAAAAATACCTAAGGATAGTCTTTTAAATCTAACTTTAGAATATAATTGTTTATAAGAAATTCTTATGCTTACAAAATTGATTTATAAATCTATTATCGAATCTAGAGTATAATTGTTTAGTCCTATTTAAATTGGTAATATGATTTTAGATGTGGGAGTAGAATTCGTCAGATGCAGTAAGTATTTATTCATTAATTAAATAATTAATTTATTAAGAACTAAATACAATATTGAAAAAGCTGATAGTGAAATCTAAGGATCATTTACTTCTATTTAAAGTACCAATCCTTCTCCATCCAATAAATAAGTTAAATTTGCTAAAATACTATTTAAAGATGTTTTACCTATTGAAATTACTGTTATTGGTTTGAATCTTAATAAAAAGGATGACTTATCAATTTATAAAACCATTTAGAATCTTTACAATAAATATCTCAAATTCATAGAGTTAACTTATGATAGAATTACATTTTATAAGTATTTTATCAAATCTAAAGATTCAATCATGTTAGAATTTGATAAAGAAGGAAAATTGACTTTTCTATCTAGACCTATCCCACCTTCATTGAGTAGAGAATTTCATCTTAATTATCTTCCTAGAGGACATTATTATTAGATCATCTAAAATTAATAATTATTACATGATATTGAATAACATTTAGAAAATTAATGGGTTATATAATCAAATGACTAACTTTATGAAATATTCTTAAAAGCTAGAAATAAAAAATTTAAAGGATTTGCTATTATCTTTTCAGAAGGATTTCTTTAAACAAGAAGTTTAGAATTAGAAACCAAAAAAATTAAACTCAGATAAGAAGCTACTTAATATTTAACCAATCTTGAATAAAATAACCCTGAATTAAAAAATACTATTCTCTCTTTCTATATACCATCTTCAATATAAGCACCAAAAGTACTTATAAAAAGAAAGAAAAGTAGAATGAATGTTTTAAGTGAGATAGTTTAAATTAATTTAATCGATCCTTAAAGTATTGAAATTGAACCTATCCATTTAAATTAAATCGATACTTTTGAATTTAACATATTTTAAATTGAAAATAATTCTATAGAAAAATAGAGAATTGTTTATAGAATATTTTTAAGGAACAAATTCATTGAAATTTTTGATATAGACAAAAGTAGAATGTTTGAATTCTTAAGTGAATTAGAATATAGATATGATAAACGTAGAAATCCATTTCATAATTATAATCATGGAGTTAATGTAATGCATAGTTGTCATGTTATCATGAATAAAATGTTATCATTACCTCAATACAATGATTTATTTGATTAAAATACTAAGTTAGCATTAGTTTTAGGTGGGTTATGTCATGATGTAGGTCATACAGGAAGAACTAATTATTTTGAAATTAATAATTTATCAGAAAAAGCTATTAGATATCATGATAAAAATGTTTTAGAATAATATCATGCAGCAACTGCATTAAAATTGTTATTAAGGGAAAGAATGAACTTCTTGAAGAATATTGATTTTAGATCTTTTAGAGAAAAATTTATTCAAAATATAATTTTTACTGATAAGGCTGAACATTTTAATTTACTAAAGTTTTTTGAAGCTAATAATGAAAAAGACATAAAAATAATAACAGGAATGATTATTCATACTTCTGATTTTGCAGGAGGATCTGCTAAATGGCCAATTTCTAAGGAATGGTCCTTAAGAGTGAATTAAGAATTTCAATCACAATATGAAGAAGAAGGTAAATTAGGTTTACCACAATAACCATTTATGAAAGATTTGCATAATGTATGTAGAATATAATTTATTTTAGATGTCTGTGTTATCTAAATCTGAGATAGGTTTCTATAAATTTATTGTTCGTCCATTGTATGTGTCTTTGTCATCTTTTATGGATAACTAACTTTAAGATAGAATAGAAAATATTGATGAAACAATAATTGAATGGGATTTACTAGCATCTTAGGAGAATTAATGATTATGCTAAAATACTTGTTTAATTTTATATTTTTGTATTATATATATAAATGAACAATAATTTATTATCCAAGATAGACCTTCAACAAAGTTTGGCTTACAAATATTCTTAATAAGACACTTATTATTATACTAAGTCTTTGAATGAATATATAGATAATGCTAGATTACCACATGTGATTAATTTTCATTATGAAACTAATTGCAATGAAAACAATGAATATTTAAGAAGAACATATGACATTCGTATATTTTTTTATATTATTTTAGATGAAATTGCTACCAAACTTGCATTATTAACTGAATATTATAAGTTCCACAATGAGATTCCAAGATGCTTCTGGCTTAAATTGGCTGATATAATGAGTAGGTAAACATATGTATTAAATTATTTTAGTTATCATGATAAGAAAAGAAGGATTGAATATTTTAGAATTAAAAGAATGATTGAAAAAGAAAACAAATCAAACCCTAATTAACCTAAAAAGAAAATTGTAGGAGAAGAACCAGATGATAGTGCTACTTAAAAGTCTGGAAGACAATACAGTAATGTTCTAAATGATATTTCTGAAGTTTCAAGAACTATTGATAAAATACAAACAAAACTCAATTCCATTAAATTAAATGTTGGAGATCTCTAATTATTACCTTCCAATCGAGATTAAGATTAATTAGATAAGTTTCTAAAATATCTTACTGAAAAAAAATAAAAAAAACAGATCAACATTATTTAAACGCCTAACTCAGTATCACTTAAATTACCTATTGGATTATCATAAAAGACTATCAAATAAGTTTTATCAAGAAAAATGATCACCTAATAATCTACTCAAATTACTTATCAAACTATTAATTCAAGTAAGACAACCAAATAATAATCCCTATATTAATAACCTTCTTAAATGTAATCTTCACCAAGAATTAATATTAAGTAACTACCAAAACAAATAGGGTCATTTACTTAAAGGACAGTTAAAGATAATGCCTTATCAAAACTATTATCTCCTTTATAAATTTAAATCTTTAATAATAATAGGTATGATTTATATCTATTATCTTAGTTAACATACAAATAAATGTAAAACCAGTATTTCAATATCGAAATAATTTAAAATTACTGATTCTGTCAGATCTTCTGCAAGATTGCATCAGCATACTAAATCTGACTTTAAATTCTTCAAAAAAATATGATTCAAATATGATTCAAAATGAATTCAATTTGTTTATGTATTCAAAAATTGAGTGCAAATTTTAATTAATAATTATAAATTCACATTTTTTAAAATATAACATTAAAACTCTTTTTATCCCAATTACCACTCTTTAAACTAAAATATTCACCAGGACCCAATTTTTATGTATCATTCATAATTTTTTGGAATCTATTTTCCTAAATTATTTAAAAAAAAGAATATTACCCTAACATTAAAAGCTACTTAACTATTTTTAGTTTTTTTAAATAAAGCTGATGTATTATGTAATTTTCCGAGTTCTTCATCTTAATCTTCGTCAATTTTTTATTAATCTTAAAATATCTCTTTTTTTTTTCTTTCAAATCTAGGCATAGATGATCCAAAAGCTTTTGATTAAATTTCTTAATTTTCTTCTTCGTTTTTTTTTAAATCATACTCAATAGTATTATTTTTAACATTATAGAATCCAGGAGCAGGATTATTATTTGAAATCTATTTATGATTAATTCCTCTTTCAGTTTTTGATTTAAATATTGAATTAATCCCTTTAATTTACTTATCATTTTGATCATAAGTTCCTGGTCCTGGTATTTAGTCATATTCTTATTTGAAACGAGTTTCATTAATTCCAAAATTTCCTATAGGAGTATGTTCTAATTTTTTTATTAATTTTTCTTTAAGCTATATAACTAAATAAAAATAAATACAGAAATTTTAGGATCATAACTTTATGGGCCTGGCATTAGATCTAATAATTTTGATTCAAATCTACTGTTTGATGATAAAAATGGAGGTTAAATAATATTTTATTTTATATTTTTTGTTTTTAATTAATATTCTCCAGGCCCTATTAAATAATTAATTTTTTATTCTTAAAATCTTTTGGATTTAGATCCAAAACAATCTTTACCAAATTTTATTGATTATAAAGAATTTGATGATGATTATGATAGAGTTGATGTATTACCAAAATAATGACCAGGACCAGGAGTAGTTTCCTAAATTTATTAAAATTTTAATCACATCACAAAATTAATATTCTTCATCTTCTAAATCTTAAAATCCAGGATTTCTTAATAATTTTTCTTTTTATTTATCAAAGTAATTTTTCATTAATTATTTTTGTTTATCACCCTTAGAATTATCAAAAGTTCTAGTGGATTTTGATTAAAAATTTCCTGATGGATTTAATTTATAAAGTGGAGTAATTGATCTATTAGAATCATAACTACCAGGACCTAGACTCAAATTTTTATCTTATAATGAAGGTGCTAATCTAGGACTTTTTGATTTATGCCAACAAGTTCCTTTATTTTTATTATATTCAAATGTATCTTTGATTTAATACTTTCCAGGTCCAACAGTATCTAATTTTATTCCTGAATATGTAGGTTGTGGATTCTTATTAGATTCTAAATCATGTTCTATAATATTTATTTTATTGATATACCTCCTTTCTCTGTATATCCATATACCTAATTATCAGTTGGAATTGAAGGGATTGATTAATATCTATTTAAACTCTATAAAATTTCCATATAACTTTAAGATGTATACTGCTACTGAATTGGTTTAATTTCAACTTTATTTGTTTCATATGATCCAGGTCTAAGAAATTAATTTTTATATAAACCACCCTGGAGTCATCGTTGTATTTGGTTGATCAAAGCGTCTTGATTATGATGCAAATATTGAAGATTATAATTTTTTGTCTTTTAACTTCATTAAATTTGGTGAAGGTTATACACCATAATTGTTGCTTAAGTATTCTTAAATATATTACTAATCATATTGATCATCCTAATAATAACTTCCAGGTCCAGGAATATTTTCATTTTGAATTCTTTCATTTCTACTAACCAAAGAATCAAAAGGAGCATTTCCTTACTTTACCTTATAATATTCATGTGTTATATAACTACCAGGTCCAATCTACAGCTTTTCAATTTCATTATACATCTTATGATACGCTATTATTGGTTGCTATTCCTGTTCTCTCTGCTTAAAATACAAAAGCCATGTAACAATTATAATCAAAATATAATATTTAATTTAAATCATTAGAAAAATTCAATGATGTTCATTCAAAAATAAATTATCTATGATTTTTCAAATAGGAAATCTTTCAACTCTGAAAACTGTTCATCATAGCTTAATATTAATATTATATTAAATCACTATATTTTTGATTCTTAACAAAAGTAAATATTAGATATTAAATTGTAATATATTTCTAGTTTAATGTGAATTGTTTATATAGATTTAAATTTCTTTTCTAAACCTATTCTATTTATTTTTTTCATTTTTAGACTATTATCGAAACTACAAGAAAATAATTTCTTTAAACTTATTCTGTTTCTTTATTATTCAATAGTTACATCAATGAAATCGAAAGAATTTATTCTCTTATTAAAACTATTTTTTTTTTGAAAATTTTCTAATAATTATAATTCTAAATAACATTATATTTTAAATTTGTTTATGAAAAAAAATTTTTAATATTATATTATCTTTAAATTATGAATTTTAATATTTAACAATCAATCTTAGATATTTCTTAAGTCTTACTAGTTATTAATAGAATTTATAATATTAATTAGGCTACTCTACTTGAATTAAAATGCTTTGGTTTTTTAATTTCCAGAATAAATGTTATAGAAAAAAAATAAAACTAATTTATTTATGATTATTTCATTTCTATTAAATAATCGATAATGAGTGGTAAAAATTTGAGCTATTATATTAACAATAGGAACTAAATTCCAATATAATTATTTTAAATTAATACTAAACAATCTTAAAGTTTATTTAGAAATTATAGAAAAATTCTAAAAATATGAAGATTCTTGATAAAAATTGAAATAAATTAAAAAAATTAAACGATTTTCGAATTTTTTTAATACAAATTTTCAATAAAAATATTGCGATAGAATATTTCAATATTAATTAATTTTTTTATATTGTATTTATGTTCAATCAATTCTTTTCAAGAACAACAATATATTAGGTAAGTAGAAGTTCATGATTAAGTTGTAATTTCATTTAAGACATTGAGGAATTATATTAAGACATTGATGAATTATAATAAATAAGAAGAAATTTGAAATAATCAAACATTACGATTCCTCTAATGAAATGCTTGCAATTAAGGTAAAAAATAATAATAAATACTCTTGAATTATATGCAAAAAAATTCTTTTGAGTCTTAAAATATTATGTAGATTGTTTAGATAACTATTAAGTTGCTTTTAAATCTCTAAAAAGATAATAAGTATTTATATTGAAATATGAAATCAAAAGAAAAAGAATGAAATTTGATTTAAATAGATTAATCTAATACAAATTATTGAAATGAATTTGGGGCATATAAATATCAATTGATCTAGACCTTTATTTTTAGAAATAAAGTAAATCAAAAAAGTCAAGCATTAAAAAAATTAATAATAAGATATTAAATGTAAATTATACAATTTTAGGAAGAAATGCCATAATGTTTAAAAGTTTTCATAAAATTTATGCACACTTTTAAAAAGAAAATTTTGTATTACAAAATTTTATTAGGAAATTTTAATAGAATTAGATTTATGATTATGCAAATAGAAAAGATTTAATTAATTATATTTCAGAAAATGTAAGAAGAATCATATCACCCATTTATCCAAGATGATTTTCGGTTTTCAAATTTACAATAAAGTCAAGAAGTTCTAAGTTAATAATTAGATGATAAAAATAACTAAGAAAATGAACTTAATAATAATAATAATTCAAGAACATTATCAATTTAAACTTAGAAAATGAGTTATAATTTAGAGGACTTAAAATATAAAAACTTCCCTAAATTGATTGCAAATAATTTAGTTAAATGGATTAAAAAAAAGAAAGTTAGTAAAATTCCCGATGGAATTGCAAAATTAATAAGATAAAGATAAGAATGTTCATAGCCAAATTTTAAAATAAAAGACTTATAAGAATTATGTTTCGATAAGCCTTCATAAGAAATTTTTTAGGAATTCACATCAGATGAACTATTTTTAAATTTAATTCATAGCAACAAAATAACAGATCCATTTTCATATATTCCAGGAATAAGTAACTATTATTCTGCTTCTTAAGAGCCTGTAAAAATGAAAAGCAATTATTTAACCAGAAATTAATATGTAGATAAAAAAAGTGATAGTTGATGACAAACTTTATCTATCATCTTAATAATTATTATTTAATGTTATGGTAATTTTATAATATTTTATTATTATGATTTGATTTATTAATATCATGTGAGATTCTTTAGAGAGAAGCTTAATAAAAAAAATTGATTAATTTTATTTGATAGTTTAATAAATTATTTATTTAATTTTATGAAACCAGCAACCTATTTAAAAAAAGTTGGACCATATAGTCTTGTAAGGGAGATTGGTTAAGGTATTATTTAGAGAGAAAATAGGTTCATTTGCTAGAGTTTTTAGAGGGAAAATGGATGGACGATAAGAAGATGTGGCAATAAAAATGATTTCAAAGTAGAATGTAAGAAATGAGAGCATGTCAATGATAGAAAAGGAAATTGAGATATTGAGATAATTGGATCATCCAAATATAATAAAATTAATAGATTTTAAAAGAACTTAGAATCACTATTATTTAGTATTCGAATATTGTGAAAATGGGGATTTGGATGCATATATTAGGTAATTCAAAAATAATAGATGATTAGAAAGTATTCTCCAAATGGAAAATTACCAGAAGAAGAGGTTAGAAGAATTGTTTAGTAATTAGCATAAGCATTGTAATAGATGTACAAATTGAGAATTGTACATAGAGATTTAAAATTAGCAAATATATTAGTTTCTAAGAATTTTCAAGTATTGAAAAGAATTACGCATAGATTAAATTAGCTGATTTTGGATTTGCCAAATATATGGAAGAGGATTAATATTTAACTTCTTATTGTGGAACTCCATTAACGATGGCACCTGAAATACTTTAAAGAAAGTAATATAATGAAAAATGTGATGTATGGTCAATAGGAGTGATAATTTATTAAATGATATATGGTAGATCTCCATTTGTACCACCAAAAGGAGGAAATATAAATGATTTAATTGCTATTATCAATAAAGGTGATTTATAGTTTCCAGAGATTTCTTAAATTACACTTAAATTAAAAGAACTATTAATTCAAATGCTTTAATAGGATTTTAAAAAAAGAATTAGTTTTAGAGATTTCTTTGAACATATTTGGTTGTAAGGAGAAGTTAAAGCAGATTATATTTAGAGTATTAAACAAGATTTACAAGACAATCCATCAGAAATAATTCCAATTATTCATAAAACAAGTGAAGATATTTAAGAAGAAGAAATATTTAATAATGAAAGAGATGATAGTACAAATGAAGTTTTAAAAGAACAATAATTAAAATATATTGGATATTAATTATAAAAATAAGCAGTAGGATATTTGGATTTGATGTTTGAAGAAATATACAAAGTTAAATAATTATGTGATAAAATACAAAATGCTAAAATGTCTTTTTAGTTTCTCTAAAATAGATTAATAAATCTATCATTAGCAATTAGAATTTATGAAGCTTTTTTATTAAAATAAGTTAATGAGTTTATGAAAGAATAAATTGTTGTTTTACATACATCTTCAAGCAATAGTTCTTTAATTAGTTTGTAAATGAAACGGCCTTTCTCTACTCATTAAATTATGTTGTAAAAGGAAATTATTGAATTAAAAAATTATTTTAAAGAAAATCAAATGATTGTTAATTAATTTGAATAATGTGGTTATTGCATTGCAGATAACATTTTTGATGAAATTTTAGAATTATTAATGAATCTAATTGAACATTAATAATTGATAGAGTAAAATATTTTTACACAATTACTTTAATTATTGTACTCATTTATATAATCTCCTCCTCAATTATTGTAGGTAGAGTTATATATTAAGTTATAAACTGGAAATGATATGAATTAGTACTGGCATTTGTTTAAATTGGTTAGAGTTAATTAAAAATACATAGCCGATTCAATTGAAAATCAAGTAGTTTGTGAAAATAATGAATTTGATAAAAAATTATAGTTTGAATGGAAATTAGTAAAAGATGATAGTGAAGAAACCTAGGTCTCCTTTACAAAAGAAGAAATTGATAAATTATAAGACTTACTAAAAGAAGAATATACCAAAAGGGATATACGTTAATAAATATAATGATAATTAAAATTAAATGGAGTACTTAACTAATGAAAAACTCCTTAAATAATAACAATCAGTTCTATTTTCCATCAACAATTCTCGATCTAATAGTGTTTCAAGATTTCCCATTCCCAGTTAAAGAGCCATCAATGATCCAGTTCAACCGCTGAAATCTGCAGATTTGTTTAATAAATTGGAGGATATCTTGAAATAAAAGCAGTTGAATACAACAACCAGAAAGAAATAAAAACAAATTTCATGTATAATAAACCCATAAGCTTGTAATGAAGAGAAAAAATACAATATAGAAGCAAGTTATTATAAATCTCCAATTAGATTACTAGATGTATCAACAAATGGATGCTTTGATGTAATATGTTTATATTTATTTTTCATTGTAGAATAATATTCAACTCAGAAATAGAAGGTAAACTTTAATTATTGGATCCCCTCCAGTTAACTAATAAAATTAAAGTAGTAAAATTGAGAAAAACAATATTCAAAATCAATTTTAAGAAAGTTAAAATTAAAAAAAAAAAGAGAGTCTTAAAAGATTTTAAGATGAGTTTAACAATATGTAAGAAAAAATTAGAGGAAGGAATAATGTAAATTATGAATTTCTCATTTTAGTCAATATTATAAGAGGATGATAGAATTTAAATTAAAGAAAAAAAAATTGATTTAAATATAAGCACAGCAAAAGAAAATAAAAGTATTACACTTAATAAATTAAATTACTAATTATAAATTTAGAATAATCACTTATAAGAATAGTTACTTTTTGAATAAAATTAAAATAGTAAACTAAATATGCTTATAAATAATTTAAATGATTAAATCACAGCTTTGAATAAGTAAACTTTATAATAATTTAATAGATAAATTAATTAATAGTAACAATCTATCAATGATGATTCATAAATTAAGGAAAAAACTATTAAATAATAAAATTCGAAAATAGAATAATTACAACTTGAACTAAAATAAAAAGATCAAGACATTCAACATTTTAAGCAACAGATTTCAGAATTCTAGAATGTTTATAAAGAAATGCAAGAATTAGAAAATCTTTGTTCTTCCATGTCTTTCATAGGTAAATAAAGTCTTTAACATAATCATTTAATTCATGAAATACAAGATTTGCTATAAGTTTAAAACAATATTATAGAAAAAGTAACAAGCAACAGAGATTTTCAAATTGAATAATTAATAATCTAAAAGAAATAGAAAAAATAGAATTTGCAAGAATAAGTTGATTATTAAGAATTATGCCAAGAGACAACTCGAATTTAGGAAAATATAATAAAATAAATTAAAAACTCTGTTGAACAATTAACAGAAAGATTTATTCATGACTTACTTATTTGATTAGTTAAATAAAATATTTTTGCTCTTTTATAATAAAAATTTAAAATATGAATAAAGACCTATTTAAATATAGAACTATTATTGAGAATCTTCTAAAAGTGATTTCGAAGTAACAAATCCATTTTTATAAATTAAAATCAAAAAACTAAACGCAACATCTTTATAACTTAGAATTATCGAATAGATAAAATAAATTCACTGATTTACAATCTAAATTAATATCTAGATTATAATCAATCCTTCTGAAACCCAAAATAATATAAAATTCTTAAATTAGAGCTCAATCAACAGCTCAACATTCAAAATCTATAAAATTGCATATTTGATTATTAAAAATTATGTAATAAATATATAACCCAGATGAAAGGATGAATGTTGAATTATTTTTAGCTGCTAGAGAACTTCCTAATCTTGAATTCTTATCCAAAAGTGACCCTTACTTAGAACTCTATTATTCTTTATAAGGAGAACCAGAAATTTGTTTAGGTAAAACTGAAACAGCAGAATGCAACTTAGATCCTAATTGGGAAAAATCATTCAATATTGAATATCTTCCCAATTTTATTCAAATACTTAGATTTTAAATCTTTGATTAAAATAGAATGGGAAAAGAATTTATGGGAGAAGCATAAGTTACAATTAAAGACATAACACAATCAAAAAATTCATTAATATCATTACCAATAAAAAAATTTGATAAAAATGCAGGATAATTAATATGCAAGGCAGTATTAATGAATTAATCAAATCATTTTGTCTAATGGCAATTTTCTGCATCAAATATTAAAAATATGGATGGTATTTTTGGTAAATCTGACCCATTTCTAAAATTTTATTTACATTCTGATAATGTATGGTGCTAAATTCATTAAACAGAATATATTAAAAATACTCTTAATCCAACATGGAAAGAATTTGAAATTTCTTTATAAAGATTATGTTTGAATGATGAAAATAAAAAATTTAAAATAGAATGCATAGATAGACATGAAAAAGGTAAAAATAACTAATTAATCGGTGCATTTGAAACAACAATAGATGAAATATTTAATAAAAATAAAGCAGAATTTTCTCTAATTTAACCAAAAGGAGGTTAAGTGGGTACTATAAAAATTCTTAATAAAAAAAAAATATTTAGACCCAATTTTGACGATTTTATAAAGTAAGGTACCACCTTTAATCTAATTATTGGCATTGACTATTCTACTAATAATGGTGTTCCATCATTTCCAGATTCCTTACATTCCTACATAGAATCTAATAATAAATATGGAAAAGTAATTAATGATGTAGCTCAAGTTTTAGAAAAATATAATTAGAAAAAGTTGTTTGCAATATATGGAATTGGAGCAGAACCACATTTAGCTAATTATACATTAAATACTTATCAAACTTTATTTCCTTTGACAGGGGATTTTTAAAAACCTTAAGTAGAAGGATATTAAGCTGTTTCTAATTTATATAAAAATACTTTGAAGTAGATAGTTGTCAAGGGTGATTGTAAAATTGAAGATTACATTAAATATATATAAACGGTAGCTGAACATAATTCAGGTAAACTAATTTATACAATTTCTGTAATAATAGCATAAGGTAAAATTTCAGACATAAAGATTTTTGAGGATTTATTAATCAAAGGTATTTTAGATATTAATATAGGTTGTAAATTACCATATACATTAATTTTTGTAGGAATGGGAAAGAATGATTTTTCAGAGGTGAAAAGTATGATTAATAATTTGAACAATCACGATCCCCCAATTAGAAATAATTTAACATTTTATGAATATAAAGAGTAAGCAATCTAAATGTTATAAAAATATTTAATGAATGATTTACCATAACATTTAGTTAGTTATAAATAATGATCAATATTTAATTTATATTATAAAATGGGTAATTGCGAATCTGAGTAACCGATTGAAAATTAATAGCCTATATAAATAGACATACAATAAAGTAATCATAAAAGGATTTTTAATCACAAGGCATTAGAATAAGAAGAATTTACATCTAATAAAGGTCAAGCACCATAAGATGTAAATGGAGAAATTGAAGATGTAATATATAGTAAAAAAAATAAAAGGAGTTAGAAAAATTGGATCCATAACCTGCAACAATTAATCTACCTCCATTTAATTTTGGAGAGAAAAAACATCTTACAGCAGAAAGTAGGCCAGCTTTTAGATTAGTTGATGGATCAACGTATGTTGGAGAATGGGTTGGAGATTAAATGACAGGAAATGGTGTATTGGAAGGAAAAAATGGTAAATATGAAGGATAATTTGAAAATGGAATGAAATAGGGAAGAGGTAGATTTACATTTCCAAATGGAGAAGTTTATGAAGGTGAATGGAAAGATGATTAAGAGGATGGAATAGGAACATATTATTATTCTTAAGGTACTGTTTATCATGGGTAATGGGTTTAAAACTAAAAACATGGATAAGGTAGAGAAGTATTTCCCAACGGATCTAATTTTTAAGGAACATTTGAAAATGGTATTAAAAATGGTCATGGCATATTTATATGGAAAGATGGTACTAAATATGAGGGTAGATTTGTTGATAATAAAATATGTGGTTAAGGTAGAATGGAATATCCTAATGGAAGAATTTATGAAGGAGAGTTCTTTAATGGTAAAATGCATGGGAAGGGAAAATTTAGTGTAAATATTGATGATTTATCTAATAAAGTGGCCTGATGGTAGAGTTTATGATGGAGAGTATTAAAATGATAAAAAACATGGTATTGGTATCTTAATTGGATAAAATTATAGATATGAAGGACAATGGTAAGAAGGTAAAATGGAAGGTTAAGGAACATTGACAAAAGATGGAGAAATTAAAGTTGGTCTTTGGCATGATAATAAATTTATTGGTGAAAATCATCATTGATCATCAAATTTTTATTAATTATTTAATACAATAAATTATTATTACAATTGTTTAATGTATATTTGTTATTAGGATAACTTAATTAAATTTATTTTAAATATTTTGTTTCAATAAAAAATTGCTTAAAAATTGTTAAATTAATTCTTTTAAAAGTTAAAAAGTTGTATTAATATTTTCAAAAAAATCTTCATGAAATTAAACAAATAAAATTTATAATATGAAGCAGGATTTTGATAAATTAATTTCAAAATAATTTTTGATTTTTTTGATATGAAATCAAAGTTAATATATAATTAACCAATTAATTTTAGAATTAACAAAAAGTAAAATTTAACTAAAAAATATTATTTAATAATAAAAATTAAACCATGATAAGACTATGGCAAAATTAAAAAATTCAACTGTCAGATTTCAAGATTAATCTATTAGTTTTAGTTATAATTTTTTCATCAATGAAACTAACAGATTCTCTTGAATATTAGACAGGAATTCTCAAAGAAATACTTCATCCGACTACACCTCTACATATTTTAGCAGATACACATACTGAAGATGCTTCAATAATTCTCACTTAATAATTGACTGGGTTTGTAAATGAACCTTAAATAATCTACTCAGTTTATAGGATGAACTTTGAAAATGCCGTTTCTGGAGGATATACCTTTTTTATAACATCATAATCAGCATCACGTAAGCATTGTATTAAATTCTAGAGTTCTAAATTTAAGTAGTGGCTCCAACTATTTAAAAAGTTTATAATGTTTGGATAAAATGGTTAGCTTTTGTTGATAAGAATAAATAAGTAATAACAGAAGAGATATTATCTCCTTAAACATCATAAACTTTCACTGAACAACATTTCAATAAGAATTTTATTGTTGCTGTTCCGATAATAAATTATTTGTCTTATACAAATACATTCACTTTTAGATTTGATGTATAATTTATATAAAATATAGATGCCCTCAGTTGATACAACAAATGTTTAAATTATATTTACAAGCACTGGTGTCTCATAAATAGGATTTCAATTATTGATTGCTATAAAAAGTCCTGTTTATTTGTATGGTGAATAATAATGGGCTCCTGCTTCTAACACTTTAGATTTAGCTCCATTTCATGTTTCTAGCGTATCAATACCACATTTATAACAATCTGACAATATCAATTTCCCTTTATTTTTAGGACTTACCTCTACAAATTTGAATTAAATAAATATAGAAGAATTAAGTTCCTCAATTAATCCTCTATTATCTTTTACAATAGGATCTTGTAATTATTATGATCTATATAAGCTACTACATGTTCTATAACAAGTGGATGGTTTAATTATATGGTTATATCTCCTCAGTTTTAAATACCTCCTCTTATTTTACTAACCTTTTCATAATAAGAGTATTATGTTAGTACTGGTACCTAACATTTCAGTATTGAACTACCTCTATTTAAAACTACATATACAACGACTACTGATTGGATAGAAATTGATAATACATATTTAGGAATGTAAATGGTGATTACAAGTGAGTGTTTGTTCAGATATCAACATGAATATTGGTTTTTAGGATCAGTTAATGATAATGAATAATATATAAAAGATTTCTTTTATTGTTCTGATGGATAAAATAGGATGAAATATATTATCAATTTTACTGATGGGGATAGATTTGAATATAAAACAATCAAATTTATTTTTACAACAACTAGCGTAGAAATGTATTAAAAGCTTGACAATATTAATTTTGATGAAGAGTATAGAACTTTAAAAATTGTAATTAGTCAAGTGAGATGATTATTAATTTAATATATTTATATAAAATTTTTCGATAATATTTTAACAATATATTTATTCTATAAAAACTTCATTCTAATTCACAGCATCCTGAAAAGAATTTTTTTAATAACTTTTAACCAAATGGAATGAAACTCAACACATACCTATTCAAATACTATCAAATACCAAATATATGCGCAAAATTATACTAATGTCATGAGTAAAGTTAAAAATGTTAAATCGGTTGCAAATGCTAATACAAGTGTTATTGTCAATGTTGAAAAAAATATAATTGTAGATATTAATCTACTTTTATCAGCCATTTTCTTACATTATTCTTTTGGACCTGATAAAAATAAAGTACTAAACTATTCAATAAGCTATTAATACCTACATATTGCAACTAAATTTCCTATTGAAAATATTATTGCAAATTCTTTGCCATTTCCTTAAAAAAATGCAATAAATGCACAAAATTCTAAAAACCAACCTAAATGTTATAGAACTAATTAGAATACCTGTTCCACTACAAATCAAAAATCCATATAATCTTTATTGATAAGATAATTTTGGACAAAATGCATCTAAAGGATCATCTTTTTTATCTGAAAAAAAATTATAATCTCCTTTCATTTTATATTTAAGTCAATTAAATATCTTTTTATTAATTATTTATTATTTAATAATGGCAAGAAGAGGTCAATAACCACCACAATAATAATAATAAGCTCCACCTCCAGTTTAAAAAAATTAGGCTGGTAAATTTAATCCTGCAGAATTTGTTAAACCTGGATTAACTGAAGAAGAAGTCTTAGAAATTAAAGAAGCATTTGATTTATTTGATACCGATGGGTATATATCAAAAGTATATATATAGCACTTAATCTATTGATCCTAAAGAATTAAAAGCTGCAATGACCTCATTAGGGTTTGAAGCTAAAAATCAAACAATTTATTAAATGATTAGCGATTTAGATACTGATGGAAGTGGTCAAATTGATTTTGCTGAATTTCTTAAATTAATGACAGCTAGAATCAGTGAAAGAGATTCAAAAGCCGATATTTAAGTACATTAATATAACATACTTAAATAGAAAGTTTTCAACCTTTTTGATTCAGAAAGAGCTGGAGTTATCACTCTTAAAGATCTCAGAAAAGTAGCAAAAGAATTAGGAGAAACTATGGATGATTCTGAATTGTAAGAGATGATTGATAGAGCTGATTCAGATGGAGATGCTTAAGTAACCTTTGAAGATTTCTACAATATTATGACCAAAAAGACATTTGCATGAATGAAATCATTAATAATAAATAAAATAAACAACAATTTTCTCTATCCACCTAAATCTCTGTTTTTTGATTTTTCTTATTTACTGAAATTTATATTTTATGAAATTTTTAAACTATATGATTTTATCCTTATTATTAATATTAATAAAAATAACATTGTTGGTTAATTCTCTAAAATAATCCTAATAAAATTAATCTTTAATTTATTCAAAATTATAATTAAGTTGATCGGTATAGATAAATCTAAAAATATATTTAATGTTCGATTATCAACAAATAAATTTCTGATTTAATAATTGCTTTTCATTTTTCTAAAGTTTTTAAGAAGCAGTATTATAGTGATCTATAATATTGATTGATTTAAATATACTTGTTCCTTAAATATATTAAAATGGATCTTAAATAATTACTTTTAGATGATAGCTATCTTTTACTTTTCTCAACATTAAAAATATGTTAAAATATATATTAAAAGTGAGATTTTTAGTTCTACTATTAGAATATTTCAAAATATAAGGATCTAGGGATGAAATAATAATAAAGTAGTATGAATTGTATTTTGAATAACAAAAACATTAAATTTAAGTATAAAAAAAAGAATCCAAAGATGATAAGTTTAAGTAAAATAAGAATATTGAGGCATGTTTATTTTTTGTATAAATAATTATAAAATAATGAAAGGAAGAAACTTAAAAAGCGAAGTTTAATATGGAGAGGCTAATTATTATTATTCAGATGGAACTGGCAGTGAAAAATGTATAAAATAACTTTAGGTCGTGATAACTACATACAATTCGATAATGGTTGATTAACTATGCATGCAAAATATATCATTAACCAACAATAGGAAGTTTTGAAGGTAAACAAAATGATCCAGTATTTTGACCTAAATAAAACAATAAAACTTAGCTTTTTTTAGTAATGGAAGTGGGAGATACAAATATGTATTGTAAATTGTATTGAATATAAATGGGAATTAGAGATAATCATGAGGGTTTAATGAATACTAGTGAAGATAAACATTGATTAAGAAAACCTCAAAGATTTAGATAAATGACTATTTATAAATTTATAGACCTCGTTCTAGTATCTAAAAATCTTTATATTCTTATTAATAAAGAATTTGCAAACGTCTTTCTATTCCTAAATATACTAGGATTCTAATTTTAAAACAATTAAAAAGTGAAGAGATGATATGAATAATACAAAATATATTATTTTAACCGAATTTATTAATGAGTTTCTAAGAGCTTTCTAAGTAAATAGAAGAGATGACTAATTTTCTTGTATGATTTATTAATAACTTTATAGTTAGAATAGAGTGATGATAATTTAGTAAATACCTCTCCTACTAATAGAGAATAAATAAACCTAATCATTAATGATTAGAAAGTAAAATTGAGAATTAATGCAATGCTTAAATAGAAAGTAATTATTGGAATTCTATAAATAGAGTAGACAATATCCTCATCAATATTTAACTGTTGAAATAGCGAGTGAAGACAATTATGAAATTGAGTTGGATTAAGAAGATATTAAATAAGTAACGAAATTTTTATATTCAAATTATAGGTTTGTTAAAATTTTGGAGAAGTCAAATAAGTCTATACAAAACTGAATGGAGCAATCATAATAAAGTTCAATACTGTTTTTGATGCTTTTATTGTTTATAAACTATTAAACAAACATCAGATTAAAGAGTTAGATGTGACTATCAAAATTGAATTTACTTCCTAACAAGATCTTTTAGAAATCATGGAAATACAAGATGCTAATTAATAAAAATTTACTTGTAGATATGATGTTTAAATTGATAATGATAAAGACTTTTAAGTTGCTCGTAAAATCATTGGTAATTTATTCATACAATTCATTTAGGAGCAAAAGGCTGTAATATGAAGAAAATTATAGATTAATGTTTAATAGATTGTGATACAAAAGAATAAGATCTCGTTAAACTTAGATTGAGAGGAAGAGGATCTGGTTATAAAGAAGGTCCAGAAAAAAGAGAATCTTAAGAACCATTACATTTATGTGTTTCATCAAAACATAATCATCTCTTTTTGAGAGTAAAAATATATTTTGTAATCTTATAGGCTTGTTAATTGGTTGAATAATTGCTTTTAAAAATCTATGAGGAATATAAATCTTTTGGTTTTAACAGAGGACGAAAATAATCACATTACAATATAAAAAGAATTTAATAATCAATTAAGCCTCAAATAAAACCAAATTTTATGCCTGAATTGCCAAACTTTAATTTTTCAAATGTATAAATTATTTTTTAACATTTTAGAATTAATTTATTGATTTTAACAATGAAAATATCATGGCATATTCAAACATACCTAATTAATTAATATGATGTATATAGATATATATCATATGTATAATTAATAAATTGTAATTTGTAAAATAATAACTCATTTTTATAATCTATAACCTCTAATTTTTAAATATCCTGGTATGCCATCTTATTATTCTAATGCAACTAATTTAGGTGCATTAACATCTTTAATATCTACATTAAATTAACCTAATTATTGATATTAGAATAAAGATTACCATTTCCAAATAATTAAGCATAGCCATCAATATTAATTGAATGCAATTCAGCTTATCCACCTAAGATGACAGTCGAATTGGATGAAATTGAAACTTCTAAAAAAATAAGTTAAATATATATATTTACTTCCTTTGATTCTAGATTTGATTTCAGAAAGAGTAACACCAAATGATGGATGTAATACAATTTTAGGTCCAAATTTGAATTCTAATCCATTGTAATTAACTTCATCTGAAATTTAATCTGGAATAGAGACACCAGCCATTCTTAATAATTCTGCATTAAGCCAATAGAAATCATTTTCTGATGAAGCAGCACATTCTAATGGTAAATTAGATTTTTATTTAGTTAAAGCAGTATTAAGATCATTTTTACATGCAGAGAAACAGAATCTTCTATTTAAAGCAGTAAATCCAACTTTATTTTATGGTCCAAGTAGTTTAGGATAATCTTACATCATACATTCTAATCTAGATGATGATTTAAATTTAGTTTTAGTAGCATCTGCGTATTTAGGATTAATAAATTCAGCTATCAATCCTTTAGTTTCTTAAAGTACTGTTTCATATTCATTTAATGAAAATAAAAGACAATTGATATTACCAGGATATTTAGAAAATCCTTATTCATCTACAGGTTCACCTCCTTAAGCTTTGACTAATGGATCTAATTGATTATATTCAACATTTAATGTTAAACCCTTATTATTTTTATCAACTAAATAACAAATAGCACCAACAGCTTCTCCTGGTTTACGGCTTACAACAATAGAATTTAATTCAAATTGATTTTCTTTGCTTACACCTAATACTACTGGTAATGCTCTAAATGCTTATGCATTTGTATCTTAAAATATAAATAACCATTTTCTTCCTTCATTCTTCCATCTCTATGCTAATCCAGACATATATAATAATGTATGAATATCCCCATGACCATGTGGTTTAGTATCTATCAATAATTTTCCTGGTATTTATGCAAAATGAGCTAGATTATCTAACATGGCTGGTACTTTTTCTTATTTAATAAGTGTGACTTATTCTTTTTATAATCCAAAATATAAATTATTTTCTAATAATTATAATGTTAATTTATGAGTATCATCAGATGTCATTATTGCAAATGGCAATTATTTATTTCCATGTTTTCTTTATAAATTTAATATATATTAACAATAATATTCTAAATAGGTAGTATTTGTAACCAAATCTATTGGTAAACCTACTTTTATTCCATCATATCCTAATCTCTCACCTAAACCACCTGCTACCAATACAAAACATGTATCTTTTATTTCATCTACTCCTAATTATTCTAATCTTAAATATTCATCTGAATATATATCAACATTCTATCCTTAAGGTACATGTGCTGTATACTCAGCAAATGGATTTACATCTTCAGAAGCATCAAGTAATAACTTTAATATAAAATATTTATCTATTCATACTTTCCTTGCTCTATTTGCATACTCTTTTATTCCTCCTGGATAATTCTTATTAAGTTAGTTTATTTGATCTATGAATTCTGTTACCTATTATTGAGTGTAATTGTTAATATATGTTATTAAATGTTATTAATCTATTGAACCTAAGTACTCAATCAATTGTTCCTATGTCTAAATATCTTAATTCATAATATATTTATTTATTTTTTATTTCAAATAAATCTTCACTGTTTATACATACTTTCATAAATATTAATCATTTTTTATCATTTACTATCCATAAAAATTATTTATATTATTCAACTTGAAGTAAGATTTTAACTCTATTTTTATTTTTTTTAATCATAAAGAATTCTTAATAATATTTATTATTATTTTATTATTCATTCCATAAAATCTAAAATTCAATTAGAATTTGATTCTAAATTTGAATAAAAAACCAAGAAAAGCGAAGATCCTATTTTTGTTGAGAAATCTATCAAAAATCCTTTATACAAACCTCTAACTCCCTCCTAAGAAATTATTTTTTTAAAGCAGTGAAAACTATTTTTATATAATACATCAGATCTTCCTATTTTTATATTTAATTTAATAATACCTGATTGCATCATCATTCTTCTTCTAATCGTATCTAAAGGATATGATAAAAATCCTGCAGTAATAGTCACCGATTATGCTAAGAAAAACATAAAAAATATTTGAGGAACTATGTTTTAATCAAATAATCTAAATGAATTGACAGTGTCGAATGCTCCAAAATAAATGGCTCTATAAAAAACCACTCCAAAAATTGTAACACCAAATCCTCTATATAATCCTCCAAAACCATCTGATTTATAAACTTTGTTTAAACAATCTGTCAAACCATTGAATTATCTATCAGCTTTCTTACCGATATCTGCAGCCAATCTTGTTCTTGCAAAATCTAGAGGATAAATAAATATTAAAGATGTTGCTGCAGCTGCTCCACCTGAAGCCATATTTCCTAAAAAGAAATAAAATGGCTCTCTTTTTGGATCTTAAACTTATTAATTTCATTTACTATAACGATTGAATAAACCTTTGAATGTATCCTTAAAAGCAAAATTCAAAGCCTATGCTGGAAAATATCTAATAATATTTGGGAAGTTCCCTCTCCATAACGCACTTAATCCCTAAAAGATGTTTATTGCTCAAGTTACTTCCTCTTTTATTATTCTTGAAAAACAGTTGAAGATACCATTAAATCTTTTTGTTTAACCATTTTAAATCCTCAAATTTACATCTTAGGTTTATAGTAATAACTTAACTCTTTCAAATGGGGCAGAGACCGTTTTGGAAAGAGCAGCTGAAATACCTCCAATTAGAAAATTATATAAAAAGTCTGTCATTAATTTATAAAAACTATTGTAGAGAACAATTAAGTTATTCTTTTGGAAATTAAAAATATATGCTCAAAAGAAAAAAAGTGGTCCCGAATAAGATAAATAGTACGTAGATTATATTGTTATTTGATTTTGAATGTAAAATAATAATTGATATCATTCACCTCCTGCAGATTTAGAACCTGGAGCAATAAATTATTAGATTTCATCATAAAGGACTAAGACAAGTGATGCACCGATTCCTCTGAAGAAATTTGATAGGGCTCCTTTGAAAAATGCTTTAGTTCCTTCATTTTTAAGAATTTTAACTGCACAATCAAATGTATTTTTATAAAGAACATCAGCTCTACCTAGAAAATAAAATAAAAAATAAATAAATACCAGATTACATCATCATTCTTCTTCTAATTGTATCTAATGGATAAGAGATAACACCAGCTGTACCAGTAATGAATTAAGCAACAACAAATTTTGCAAAAATGTTACCCATCATAGGATGTTTAAAGATTGTTCCTTTTGCGGTGTCATATGTACCAAAATAAACACCTCTGTATACTATAATTCCCAAAACTGAAACACCAAATCCTCTATATAATCCTCCAAAACCATCTGTTTTATAAACCTTGCTTAAACAATCTGTCAAACCAGTAAATTGTCTGTCAGCCTTCTTACCAATATCTGCAGCCAATCTTGTTCTTGCAAAATCGAGTGGATAAACGACTAATAAAGATGTTGCACCAGCTGCACCACCTGAAGCCATATTTCCTAAAAAGAACATGAATTTCTCTTTTTTTGGGTCTTAACAATATAAAACATTTATTACCAAATGGACAGAGTAGCTTTTTATAAGCATCTTTGAAAGCGAAGTTTAATGCTTATGTTGGGAAATATCTGATGACATTGGCTAAATTACCTCTCCATAAGGCAGATAAACCCTTAAATTATTAATTATAAAGAATACCTCTTCTCTTGGGACTCTGATGAAGCAATCAACGATTCCATTATATTTCTTGGCACCACCTTCTTAGATTTTCTTATTAGCATCTTAGGTTTAGAGTAACAATTTGACTCTTTCAATTGGAGCAACAGCAGTCTTTGAAACAGCAGCAGAAACACCACCTATCATAAAATCTCTCAAGAAGTCACTCATTTATATGAAATAAATAAATCTTTTTCAAATTTTTCGAACAAATTTGTGCTTTTATACATCACAATTAAATATATATTATACAATATACATTAATTTTTATTTTTTTATTACACCATTCCTATTTATTACATTAAAACCTGTTTTAAAAGCTAATTTTATTTATTTACTCTTAATTTATATCTATTCTTTTTTTTTTTTTTATAATTAATAAATTTATCTATTTCTGATAGTCCCTCTCAGTAATTCTTATTTTATGAATTATATATTCATATTATATTTATTATATAAGGTAAGTTTTATTTTAGTATCAATTTATTTAGACTTTATTGAACTTATTTATATCTAAATTTACTTATGAGTTAAAGTGATATAATTATTTCTTTACATAACTTCAAGATTAAATTTTTTATCTTTAATTTTTAACAATATATGATAATTTAAAGAAATTAGAAATCATAAAATCCATAATATTTCCTTATTTTTTCTCTGATCTTTGAATAATTTTTATTATAATTGAAATTGACTTATCAATTTAATAATTTTAGAAATGATAGAATCATAAAATTGAAAGAAAGAATAGAAAAATTGTCATAAAATCTTAGCATGTAAATAATAAAGCGAGAGAAGAAAAAATAAATACTTATCCATACATATTATAACTACTAAAGTTTTGATCAATCAATAATCTTTTCAATCTTTTAATAATTAAAGAAGAAGTTTTAAAGCAAAATTTTGATAAAGAATAAAACAACTTAATTAAATTTGATTTAAAAAATGCGAAATTTTGAAAAAATTTTGACAATGTTTATTCTAATAATTTCTGATATCGAAATTTAACAGTGTTCGTTTCATTAGATATTTTTAATAGTTTAACCCTTTAAAATTTATTAATTTCATTTATAATTTTTCCAAATGAAAATTACCAAATTTCTATTTGTAAGATGCCTTTACACTTTTTTTTTAACATGCTTTCTTTCTCTTATTGTTATCAACTAATTTTTGGAAGATATAGTTATTTAAGATTTATATCAGATATTAAAAATGGTTTTGGATATTTATAGGTTTCAAAGAATTCTATAGAACATTCATATAAATAATATCAGATGAAAATATCTCAGAATAATACTTAATGAATATTATTTTTTAAATAAGAACATTCATTAACTATTTAATAGCTAGTTAATGCTATTATTATAGTTTATTTAATTATGGAATCATTTAATTTTTTCATTTAATTTTTTAGTAGATATTAATAAAACTAAAAATACAGATAAGACATTTTTAGATAATTAATTAAATTTTTTTTCTTAAGCATTAAAATAGATATCTGCTAAGTTAGCAAAGAATAAATTTATAACAATTGATACAAAATCAAAGAACAGGCCCAGAAATAAGTTAATAGTATATAATAATTGTAAACAATTTATAAGGTTTAGAAGAAATTTAGATGCTTTTTTATCAGAATAAATAATAAGATATAAAATATAAAACTAAAGAAAATATTAGTGAAAGATTATATATATTAATATATACAAGATTAATGATCTTTTAGAAAGCAAAGTGTATGGGTGTTAATAGCAAAAATAATATGTATAAGTTATTATAAAAAAAAAAAAAAGAATAGATATAAATTAAGAGTAAATAAATAAAATTAGCTTTTAAAACAGGTTTTAATGTAATAAATAGGAATGGTGTAATAAAAAAATAAAAATTAATGTATATTGTATAATATATATTTAATTGTGATGTATAAAAGCACAAATTTGTTCGAAAAATTTGAAAAAGATTTATTTATTTCATATAAATGAGTGACTTCTTGAGAGATTTTATGATAGGTGGTGTTTCTGCTGCTGTTTCAAAGACTGCTGTTGCTCCAATTGAAAGAGTCAAATTGTTACTCTAAACCTAAGATGCTAATAAGAAAATCTAAGAAGGTGGTGCCAAGAAATATAATGGAATCGTTGATTGCTTCATCAGAGTCCCAAGAGAAGAGGTATTCTTTATAATTAATAATTTAAGGGTTTATCTGCCTTATGGAGAGGTAATTTAGCCAATGTCATCAGATATTTCCCAACATAAGCATTAAACTTCGCTTTCAAAGATGCTTATAAAAAGCTACTCTGTCCATTTGGTAATAAATGTTTTATATTGTTAAGACCCAAAAAAAGAGAAATTCATGTTCTTTTTAGGAAATATGGCTTCAGGTGGTGCAGCTGGTGCAACATCTTTATTAGTCGTTTATCCACTCGATTTTGCAAGAACAAGATTGGCTGCAGATATTGGTAAGAAGGCTGACAGACAATTTACTGGTTTGACAGATTGTTTAAGCAAGGTTTATAAAACAGATGGTTTTGGAGGATTATATAGAGGATTTGGTGTTTCAGTTTTGGGAATTATAGTATACAGAGGTGTTTATTTTGGTACATATGACACCGCAAAAGGAACAATCTTTAAACATCCTATGATGGGTAACATTTTTGCAAAATTTGTTGTTGCTTAATTCATTACTGGTACAGCTGGTGTTATCTCTTATCCATTAGATACAATTAGAAGAAGAATGATGATGTAATCTGGTATTTATTTATTTTTTATTTTATTTTCTAGGTAGAGCTGATGTTCTTTATAAAAATACATTTGATTGTGCAGTTAAAATTCTTAAAAATGAAGGAACTAAAGCATTTTTCAAAGGAGCCCTATCAAATTTCTTCAGAGGAATCGGTGCATCACTTGTCTTAGTCCTTTATGATGAAATCTAATAATTTATTGCTCCAGGTTCTAAATCTGCAGGAGGTGAATGATATCAATTATTATTTTACATTCAAAATCAAATAACAATATAATNGGTAATTTTCATTTGGAAAAATTATAAATGAAATTAATAAATTTTAAAGGGTTAAACTATTAAAAATATCTAATGAAACGAACACTGTTAAATTTCGATATCAGAAATTATTAGAATAAACATTGTCAAAATTTTTTCAAAATTTCGCATTTTTTAAATCAAATTTAATTAAGTTGTTTTATTCTTTATCAAAATTTTGCTTTAAAACTTCTTCTTTAATTATTAAAAGATTGAAAAGATTATTGATTGATCAAAACTTTAGTAGTTATAATATGTATGGATAAGTATTTATTTTTTCTTCTCTCGCTTTATTATTTACATGCTAAGATTTTATGACAATTTTTCTATTCTTTCTTTCAATTTTATGATTCTATCATTTCTAAAATTATTAAATTGATAAGTCAATTTCAATTATAATAAAAATTATTCAAAGATCAGAGAAAAAATAAGGAAATATTATGGATTTTATGATTTCTAATTTCTTTAAATTATCATATATTGTTAAAAATTAAAGATAAAAAATTTAATCTTGAAGTTATGTAAAGAAATAATTATATCACTTTAACTCATAAGTAAATTTAGATATAAATAAGTTCAATAAAGTCTAAATAAATTGATACTAAAATAAAACTTACCTTATATAATAAATATAATATGAATATATAATTCATAAAATAAGAATTACTGAGAGGGACTATCAGAAATAGATAAATTTATTAATTATAAAAAAAAAAAAAAGAATAGATATAAATTAAGAGTAAATAAATAAAATTAGCTTTTAAAACAGGTTTTAATGTAATAAATAGGAATGGTGTAATAAAAAAATAAAAATTAATGTATATTGTATAATATATATTTAATTGTGATGTATAAAAGCACAAATTTGTTCGAAAAATTTGAAAAAGATTTATTTATTTCATATAAATGAGTGACTTCTTGAGAGATTTTATGATAGGTGGTGTTTCTGCTGCTGTTTCAAAGACTGCTGTTGCTCCAATTGAAAGAGTCAAATTGTTACTCTAAACCTAAGATGCTAATAAGAAAATCTAAGAAGGTGGTGCCAAGAAATATAATGGAATCGTTGATTGCTTCATCAGAGTCCCAAGAGAAGAGGTATTCTTTATAATTAATAATTTAAGGGTTTATCTGCCTTATGGAGAGGTAATTTAGCCAATGTCATCAGATATTTCCCAACATAAGCATTAAACTTCGCTTTCAAAGATGCTTATAAAAAGCTACTCTGTCCATTTGGTAATAAATGTTTTATATTGTTAAGACCCAAAAAAAGAGAAATTCATGTTCTTTTTAGGAAATATGGCTTCAGGTGGTGCAGCTGGTGCAACATCTTTATTAGTCGTTTATCCACTCGATTTTGCAAGAACAAGATTGGCTGCAGATATTGGTAAGAAGGCTGACAGACAATTTACTGGTTTGACAGATTGTTTAAGCAAGGTTTATAAAACAGATGGTTTTGGAGGATTATATAGAGGATTTGGTGTTTCAGTTTTGGGAATTATAGTATACAGAGGTGTTTATTTTGGTACATATGACACCGCAAAAGGAACAATCTTTAAACATCCTATGATGGGTAACATTTTTGCAAAATTTGTTGTTGCTTAATTCATTACTGGTACAGCTGGTGTTATCTCTTATCCATTAGATACAATTAGAAGAAGAATGATGATGTAATCTGGTATTTATTTATTTTTTATTTTATTTTCTAGGTAGAGCTGATGTTCTTTATAAAAATACATTTGATTGTGCAGTTAAAATTCTTAAAAATGAAGGAACTAAAGCATTTTTCAAAGGAGCCCTATCAAATTTCTTCAGAGGAATCGGTGCATCACTTGTCTTAGTCCTTTATGATGAAATCTAATAATTTATTGCTCCAGGTTCTAAATCTGCAGGAGGTGAATGATATCAATTATTATTTTACATTCAAAATCAAATAACAATATGACACAATCAAAATATTATAATATTTTTATCTTTTATCCATTTTAATTTAAATTCTGAAAAAATCCCTCAAAATTATTATCAGAATATACAATTCATTAAAGTTACAAGAAATTCTTATATTTTTTAAAATTAAAAAATTCATAAATTGTAAAAATATTATTTTGAAAATCATCTCAAAAAAGACTATTAAGATATAGATTTTACCTGAATAATTATAGGTAACAAGTACTTAAATAAAATAGATATAAATAATTGTTTGATTATATTGAAGTAATAATGATATCGAAAAATGATCATTCTACTTATTATTAATCATTATTTTTTTTAATGGCCTAAACTATTTCCTTGGATATAGGTACAGTAAAGGGTACAGAGATGGGTTATTAAAATGAAAAAGTATTGGTATTCGGATGTTTAGGTATTTATGGTGTATTGAATTGATATTATTCTTGATAAATTTATGATTTAGTTTAGGGTGGAGATTAAACAATGAATGGAAAACTTGAAGGGACAGAGCGTATTGGTGAATTTAAAGGTTATCTTTTAGTATCAGAATAGTTATCTTAAAGCTTAATGGAAGTTCTTTATTTGGCAGGAGTATTATTAGGTGATTGAGCTTGTAATTATTACTGTATTTAAAAATATGGAGTGATTGATTCAGTTAAAAGTGAAGTAATTTTGCCATATAGATTTTGTTCATATAATAATAGTTATTTGATGAATCCAGGATTAGGTGAAGCAATGGGTCTTTAATGTTTAACATAGATTAATGCTTATTCTAGATTTAGATTTCTTTTTTTCATTAAATAAGAGATCACTATTGCAGTTGATCTTGATTTTCCAGCATGACAATGAACTAAAACATTAGTAAATTATCTGGATGTTTCTAAAAAAGTATGAGCTTAATCAAAAAGTGAAGTCATGTCTTAAAGTGGAGTATCATGACAATCAAGTACAAGATTATTAATCTCTGGACCATATTAAATTGCTGAAATAAAATAATAGATTACTAAATTCTGAACAAACAGATAAAACACATGTAATATTGTATTAGTTAAGTGCATTCATATTAGTAGCAGTAATTATGGAACCATGAAATAATCCCCCTCTCTTTTCAACAGGTTCTATTATGCATGAAATATCATAATTATTAATCATTATAATAAATTATATAATCAAGCATTTTATTAGAAATGTCTAGATAAAGCAGTCTAATGTCTAAATTCTAATCTCTTTCTTTCATCATAATAAAAAACAATTAATCCAATAATAGTAGGTAAGAGTGCTAATAATAACATTAATAATAATACCAACAATAAAGACAACTATCGTTATAGGTATAAGAGCAATCCCTGATAAAAAAGCGAGAGTTAATAAACATGCCTAAATCCAACAAGTTTAATGTCTATAAAATCTTGTTTAGATTAATTTGGCTATGCATAAGATTGGAGCAATTACTATCACAATTATTGGAGTCAATATTATTAGTAATATAAAACAAATAAATCTCCAAATTATTAATTTTACATATGACCAATCTTTTTATCTAATCCATCCTGGCATTAACGCAGGACAACCAAAAGGATTGAATATTGCATAATGAATTGATGTATAATCACTTCCACAAATCCAACACCATTCATGTTAACAAAATTAACAAGTCATATGATTACAACCATTTATTTTCTCTACTATTATTTTACATCTTGGACATTATTGTGTATCTCTATTCTCTTACCATTCATTTAATACTTATTATAAATTATCTTCACAACTTTATAAAGGATGTGCTCTTTATTTGCACTCTTTACAAACTTCAACTTTACAATAATTACAACTAGATATCTTTTAATCCTATTTAAATTCTATCACATTATTGCAATTTATTGTTGGACACCATGCCTTGTTCTTATTTATTGCTATCTCCAAATTTTAATGGCACTTTATATACTTTGTATAAAGTTCTTCTGATTATTCCAATATATCTATGTCCCTAATCGCAAAATCACAATGTGGACATATTAAATTCTTTACTCTACTCTCCTCTATCTATTATCTTAAGTAATTATAAAAACAGTTTTAACAAATCATGTGTTTCTTCTTATTTAAATGAATAAACTCATTATCCATATACATCATATAACAAACACAGCATTATTAATTTTTATACAAACTCTCTACTATTTCTTTTAATTTTTAAAACTATTTCTCACTATTCTCATCAAACCTATTATGAAATTACTTCCCCTTATTGCATATTACACATTCATTCTTTCCTTAATCAACATATACATGACTTTCATCATGCTATAAATATATCGCGGCTTCTTATAAACTTTTAAATCCTTTAAAGTGAACTGCGTATATGGATTAAAATATGCTAAATCCTTATAATTATGTCAAATCTATTATCAATTACATTTCCTCCAAATCTATCTTTGATGAAATCTATTCCACTCTTATAACATTCCCATTCTCTTTATCATCCTCAAATTTTACATAATTCATTTATTTTATATTAAAATACTCATTTTTTAATATTATCAATATTTCATTATATTTCTATACAATCATGCAAATCAGCTAATCTTACACAAAAAAATAGCTTCTAGTCTTTATATAATTCTAAAGGAATAGTTGTTTGCACTTATGAATCTCTGTTGATGATCAATTACTTATGAAATGGTTTAAATGTTAATTCTAATGTAGAATTACTATAGAATCTTAAATTTGGGGAACTTCTAACCATATCTGATCCGGTCATTGATCTAATATATCCATTTGAATTGAGTAGATAACAACCATGATCTTTATTATTTGATCCTGGCATGTGTTCAGCTGAACCTGTAAAAATGAAATTATTTTCTTATAATTTAGATTGATCACAAATTCCAACAGCCATAGGATATCGTTAATTTGAATTTCTACAAACTTTAATAATAAGTGTAACTCTTTATTCTCGAGCTAATCCACTTCCATATATTGATGGTTTAATTAAAGCTATACTTTTATCATTATCTAAAATCAATTTTGCTGATTTGGAAGTTATTTATAATCCTTAGCCAAAGCATTCAGAATGGAAAGAATATGTTGTACTAAAAGTATTAGATGTCTCAATTAAAGACATTTATTGTCCAATTCTCTTTTTTTAATTGCTTGGTTTATAGTAAAATTGACTCAATGATTGACTAACAGAGATTCTGTCATCTGGAGATCCTGGAGATTTATCAATACCTGTTATTTTTTTATAACTTGATAATTGTTGTTAAGATCGATTAAATTCAAGATTAGTTTAACCAAGTTTTTTTTAGAATTGACTATTACTTTATTAAGTAACTTAGGTTTTATAATTATTATCTCCATCACTTTTAAAAGCATTGATTAAATCTCTTAATTTTCTGAATAAAAGATTTTCTCCATCAGTTTCTTCTGCTGCATCAATTATATAATTGTTTCTTACTAAAAATTCTTATCTTTTTGTGTTGTATTCAATCTTCTAAAAAAATTAACTCATAAGTTTCTATATCAAATTTTAATCATGTAATTTAATTGCTTTATTGAAAATCTCTTATGTTGGCAATACACAAGAGAACTCTATTTATACTAAGAACATATACATTCATAATATTATAATTTCCTTTCTAACATATCCTTCTATTTCTAAATTGCATCATTAAGCATTTCTTATAATTCTGTTAATTGTTTAATTAAGTTCTTTAATTTGTAAACCAAATCATTTTGAACTGTGGATTCCTAAAATCTGAAATCCTACTTTACATAATTATATATTACAATCTCATTTACTAGACTATTCCCTTATTTTTGTAAGAGATTAATGAATTTTTTGTAATGAATCACTTGATGACCGATATGATTTTCTTCAATGCATGAAACACAATTTAACACTTTGTTCATTGAAATGCATTCTGTATTCATACATAACAATTCTAAAGGTTCATCTTCACCTTTATATACATAAAATACCTTAGTGATATCCTGCCATCTGACAATATAAATTCATTTTATTAATAAATAATTAATACAGTTTTATTATTTCGCATTCTATTCATCAATTTATCATATACTGTTCCAATCTCTATTAAGTTCCTTTCTACAAAATTAAATTCTCTAATGAATTTTAATTTCCACTCACTATTAGTGATTATTTGAAACCTTCATCATCTGGAAATATTTTGTATCTTAATAATTCAATACTATCATAAAGTGATTAATTAAAATTATGATTATTACGATTAAATATACATCCTCTTTCTCATTCAATCTTATCTATAAGTAGATAATTCAAACATCAATATCTATGCAAATCAATTAATTTGAACTATAATATTCATTCTAAAATTGTCTGTTATTATTACTTAAATTTTACAAAATTAGTTAATTATAGAATTTTAACTTAAATAATCAATTATATATCTAATTTGGTTATTGTTACAATCAAATATATTTTGGAATAAGTGTGCTAATATAAAATATTAATTATAAAAAATGGAAATCGATATTCTTAATGAATTACTTACAGAATCAGTTGCTAAACTATTTAATCCTAGAGCTGTATATAATTTTAAGAAACCTACTCCAGTTTATGATAATTATTAAAAGAATTCAAATAATACATCTTCAACATCAATATCATCTATGTAATCTGATTAACCAAAATTTGAATAACCTTAATAAAAATTATCTAATCCACCTTCAATTGAATAGTGGGTAGGTATGATTGGACCTTAAAAATTATAAGAGTCATTAAATAAGTATGATAACAAATATATTAAAGATTGAATATAGATTTAGCAAAATTAACAAAAAGAGATCTAGAAATGATGAGTATGGATTAACTTTAAAATGAGAAAAAAAGAGTAAAAAATGAACTTAAATTTTATGATGCTAATTTTTAATCAATTTTCAATAGATTTCCATTGAGAAATGAAAAAGAACCAATGAGACCCTTGTATATTTATTATAAAAAATTGAAGTAATAAATTGATAAGGTTGCTCAAAACCCAGGAGTTTAAATACCAACATATAAACAATAAACAAATAATACACAAGGAGAAATTTAAAAAAGAATTGAAGACTTAAAAAAAACAAGAGCAGAATTGAGAGAGAAATTAAATAATTTTTAAAATGAATTTACATCTACACATAATAGAAGAATTCGATTTCATAAAGATATTGCTCCTGTAGAGAAAGAGTATAAATTGTATAAAGAAATAAAAAATGAAATTCAAAAATTGGAGAATATTTTATTAAAGAAATGAATAATATAAGATTAAATATATATTATTTCTATGATTATAAAGTTGAATAAATAAAACTTATAATAATTGTCAGACATATCTTCATTGATATCCATAGTAAGGATTCTCAATTTAGTGTTGCTATTGTAATTGTTACAATTATTGTTATTGTATGTATAGATTTTTCTTCTTTCTATATTTGCAGCCTCCTACAATAAGTCCAAACAATGCTAAAACTGAAATTATTATTGGAGCTAATATATGAACTAATAAAGATCCATTTATTGAGTACAGATTTCGATAAACAGATATAGTTTACATTGGGATTGTTTAATTGATGCCTCCCAAATTAACTATTGCAGTTGCTCGAATATTATAGCTACCTGTAAGATAACTTGGGAAATCAGCAACTATTTCATTATTTGTATATTTGTTATATCTTAAACTGTAAGTATTTACATAATAAGAATTGTATTATCTCCAAATATCTTTGTCTCCATAAGCACATATCAATTCTCTCTATTCTGAACCTTCATAGCCAACTGTTATTCGGAATTCTACCTCTTCATTATTATAAACTTTGAAATCTGGAAATGATATAAATATCTTATTCCCTTTCACATCTGCTGAAGGTTATAAATAATAATTATTTGTATATGAGTTTATATAATTTATTTATTATGTTTAAACTCTTTAATACTATTGATATTTATTAATTATTACTTTTATAAATACATCTGGACTATCATATGAAAACTATGTCAATCTGTAATAAAATGTTCCATTACTTGTATTAAAAACATCATAAAAATATCTATAGTTATTTGTTCCACTCAAATTTCTATACAATCCATTCATATCAAATTCTTTTACGTCAATATTACTACTAGAAATTGGACATTTCAATATTTCAACATATACTGTCGAAGGATAGGATATAGACAAACTAAAATCATTCTTTGTATAATAAAGTCCCTAAGTAATAGCCTTATTAGCTGTCAAAACAGTTTTATAAGGACTTTATGGATCACTTATGAAATCAAAACTTTCAATCTTCGTAGAGCGATTAGAATTGAAAACGTTTATAGTTGCGTACTCATCTGAAAAATCATTTGATAGAGTAATTGTGAAGTTTTTATCAGAACATTTATACTGTTGTCTCTAAGCAGGTGTCACAATCAAATTAGCATAATTTGATGATTACCATAAATCGTTTATGTGACCCTAAGAATAATTCATTACTATTTACATCACATTTTAGACCCAATTGATATACTGGGTGATTAGCAGAGAATTCCAAACTTGTTGTGCTTAAATTACTTGAATTGAGGAGAAAAGTAAACTAATTATTACCTTTCACTATACCCAGCAAAATAATGACTATATATGCAAATTTCATTATTTTATTTAATTATATTATTCATATAAATCTTAGATTTTGAAATAACTACAGTTTGTGCAATATGGATTATTTTAATTTAAAAATCATTATTCAAACTCAATTTTTATTACTATTCTCATTCATTATTTTGTTCTTTTGTTTTTCCCATTTCGCTTTGTTATTTATATTTTTCATGAGAACATTTGCTTAATATGATTCCTAGTATCTATTTTAATTTCAACCAGCTACTTGATTAAAAAAATAATCCTATTTTATTTCTAATATATTAAATGAAATATTCATTTATAAGATAATAAATTTATTTCTAGTATTCTAATTATAAAAAATTTCTTAGTTATATGAAGTCAATATTCTAATTATTCTTTAAAATTAAATTCTTTCAAAGAGGTTATAAAATTATTTAGATTTTCTAATTATGAGAATTAATTTTTCATTTTAGTAATTTTATGAAAATTAGCAAAGCATCGTGAATATAGGCTGCTTTCTATATGATTTGGAATGAATTATAAATGAAATATAAGAAAATTAATATTGAAAAAATTATTAATTCGTAAAGTAATAATAATTTTTTTTCATTAATTTGACAAGATAGGGAAGACTAAGGAACTTCTTATTATTTGATTGAATATTATATATTTTTAGTATTTTCAATAGGGAAAATCTTTTCTTAAATAAAGAATTTTCAAAGGGTTTATTTGGAAATGAAAATCAAAGATTTGAGAGATGTCAATTGTTTCAGGTAAGGATTAAAAATAGATGGATATCATAATGAGAAGCGAAATAAAGGAGATATTTGGATTGAAAGGATGTTCGATATGGAATTTAATTCAGAATAAGATGATATAAGATGGTTAAGATAATTAGAAGGAAATTAAGTAGGGGATATGGATAGAATTTAAAAAAAATAAATTTGTTATAAATATTCTCAAAACAACATAATGTTATATTTTGGTAGAGGGTTAGGTTTATATAATGAATAGAGTAATAGTGAGATAGATGTAAAGAATTAAATGAGTTTTATAATTATTTATTGTTAAGGAATTTATTTATATGAGTATATTATCAATAGTTAATCGATCCCTATTAAAATTTGATTTGCCATTTTTATAATCAATACATCTATAATACTAGATACTGTTATTATTACAATACTTTACCATCAATTATAATTTGTAATTTTTAAAAATAATAATTGTTATACTTATTCTCAAAAAAGTTACTTAAATCAATTTATTTTTATATTCTGTATTTATCACTCATTAACAAAAGAATTCTTATTTTGACATCTATAACTTCCCAGAATATTCACAATTATGTATTCAAAACATAAGAATCCAAATTCCTTGTAATTCATAAAATATCATGTATCACTTGGTTTTTTATAAAATTAATCATATTCTTTTTTATAATCAACTAATTTATGGAAGATGTAGTCTTTAAAAAAAAAAGCATAAAGAATTGAAAATCTAACCTGTAATATTTAAGAAGACATGAAACTAAAAATTTATAAATAATTTATGCTAATATTTGATAAAACATTTCTTTGAGTAATGTTCTCAATAGAAATATTCTAACATATGGTTACATGATGGATAATAATTAATATTGTAAATGTGAATAAGTTGATTATATAAATAGGTGATTAATAAATTAAATTTAAGATTTTTGATTATCATTATCTATTGATAAATTCTTGAAACATTTGGAATGCATTAGCTCTTTAATCATAAGGCACTAAATGTCCGGCCCCTCTAATAATATACAAAGTTAAATAGTTATATTCCATGATCCATCCAGCTAGTTGATTAGTCTCTTTATTTGAAAATGGAGTTCTGGATATCAATTGGATACCTTCAATAAGTTTTAAAGAAGCAAGGGTGTAATCTATGCTAACAATATCATCAGAATTCCCAGAGTATTGAAGTATTTTAATCCCATTTTCATGTAAATATTTCATAAGTACATGACTGTCCTTATTCCTATCAAATCCGAAAAAGACATCCATACTACAAGCTTCCCAAACTCTTTCTTCTGGAATTCTTAGCTTCTTCTTTACATCAGGATTATTAAAGAAATTATTTAAAGGTCCAACATCAAGACATGGGGCTTCTTCAGAGTCCCCAACAAATCTATATCTACCTTTCTACTCTATTGAAGAATCCCCATAACAGTATCCATAAACATCATATGGATTTAAATCTTTCATTACAATTGCTTATTTTTCTAATGCTCTTTAACAACTTGCAGATTGAGGCCATTTCTTACAAGAAATAAGCATTATATTCTATGTTACTAAATCATAGAAATTTCTTTTTATCATGTATTCTCTGTTCCATAAATCAAAAAAATCATCATCATTCACCAAAACACCATTTCCTACAAGAATTCCTTTAAGATTTATTATTTACTATCCTTCCATATTTCGTTATACTATTACTTCAGCTGTACAAGGTACATACATTCCTAAATAAGATAGTATAATACCTGAATATGATTCACCTCCAATCCACATTTCCCTATCTTTATATTCATTAAATCCATCAAGCCAATTCTTAATTGCTTCATATGAATCAATTCCTGTCTAAACATCACTCCAAACATAACCTTCATCATGAATTTCTGAATATCCTACTCCTGCAGGTATATCTAAATATAAAATGTTGCCCAGTTTATGTAATGAATATTGATTCTTTGTAAATTTAAATTCATCACTAAACTTTTCTCTCACAAATGGCCCTATTTCTGAAATCAAACCCAACATGCAAGAACATCCTGGTCCACCACCAAACCATACAATCAATGGTTTCTCTTCAGGACTTTCTATACTTTCCATAAATATATAATGGATTTTTCTACATTATTATCATTATTTATATTTACTATTTCCCTTCATATAAATCAACAAACCCACTGTAAGTTTTAAAATTATGCTCTTCATAAAATGGCCAATCTTCAACTTCATCTTCTATTGGGCTTACACACAATACTGAATTTAATATCAACCCAATTATTATCACATTTCTCATTTTATTATTTTTATTCCATTATTTATTTTATTTATTCATATATATTTAATCGTTGATGTCATCGTTTCACAAAAACAACTCATACCTTTATTATAATATAATTAGACAAATATTGCAAATTGAAAAGAAAATTTGCAATCATCTTCTATCTTTTTATTGGATGTAGCTCATATGCTAATAATACCATTAGAATAATATGAAAAATATAAATAACACAAATGTGGCTGATTCAAACTACTAAATTAAGAAGAAAGAATTTTGTTTTTGAAACAATAAAGGCTATATCAATTATAATATATAAGAAACTTCAAATTCATGATCATTAATTAAATTAAAAATAAGTTCAAAAATTATAAAATGATTAAAAATATAATTTTTTAATGTAACTCATATTATGACTTATGATATAACATTTAAAAATTACTAGTTGTGTATCCAAATTTAGAAAATGAAATTTTTTTTAACTAAATATGATTTAATTAATAAAATATCGAATAAATTTATTAAATAATCAATATAAAAGAGTTACATCAAGTAATATTATATATTTTTAGACTTTATCCTAAATTAAATATTGAAGTAAGAATTGATAATAAAAAATTATCACCTAGAAATAATTCTTGAATTAATTACTCTTATTATAATCCAAAATTCAAAATTAATTTATATATATTTAATTTCGCTAAATTAAACAATTTTTTCAATGGAGACATATCCATGATAGAATTTAATTGGAACACTTTTTTAATATTTTATTTTGATTCCTAATAAACAATAAATAATTATAAAAATTAATGTTTTTTATCTATGTAAATGGGAGTAATAAAAATAAAGATTGTTCTTATATTTATTTTTGAAGATTTGTTAGTAGTTTTTGTATTAATTATGTCTAATTTTGCATTATCTATCGAAGTATTTGATTAGAAATGGTCCAAATCTTTATTAATACTTATTCTAAGTTTATTGTTGTTATCAGGCTAATTACTATGAAGAGTAAAATAGTTTTAAGTATTTGATTTTTATTTTTTATAAATGAATTTTTGATATTTTTATTATTTTATGATGAGTTTTTTGATATTTTTATTATTTTATGATGAATTTTTCTAAATATACAATTAAACTATTTTCAATTTTTTATATGGCTTGAAGTCACTCGATTTATTTTTGAAGTATTAAATTTGTATGTTATTGATTTTATATTATCAAAAATGGAAATTTAATGTAATTAAATCATCTAAATGTAATATAAGAAATATTTGATGTTTTTAAATAATACTTATCATTTTGTTAGTTTATTTTTTTTAATATGTGCTATGAGATTATTTTTTCTATTTTGAGAAACTATTAGATTTGGAAATTCTGCAAAAAAATCAAATTTCTTGCTAGCAAAAGAACAGGATTAATCAAATAAGAAAGCTAGATAATATATTTAGTTTTAATATTTTTTTATAATAAATAGACAAAACAACCTTTTTTTTGAATTTAACCCCCTATTTAAAAATTTTTCTGAGATGATAAAATGATGATAATAATAATAAAAATCAATGATTTTATGGTCAATTAAATTGTTACTCGTTTCAGTAGTCATAGGATGGAAAAGTTACTAACAAGATTTTCAAAATATTTTCTTAACAGGATACAATTTTTGTCCTAATTATCATATACATATGCCTGGTTTACATCCACATCAATGTGTTTGTAAGTGTTATTGATAATTTTTAGCTTATTCTTAAATATGTTTGGGAGTAACAAAAGTAGAAACTAGAATAGATGTGAATAATTTTGAACATTTATGTCATCCAAGATTCAACACATACAAAATGAAAAATGATAATATCGCAGTAATTTGTGATGGGCAGGATCTTTTCTTGTTGATTCAATTATCAGTGGATAACCTTTTTTCTTATAGTTGTTCTAGTAATNTAATTATAAAAATTAATGTTTTTTATCTATGTAAATGGGAGTAATAAAAATAAAGATTGTTCTTATATTTATTTTTGAAGATTTGTTAGTAGTTTTTGTATTAATTATGTCTAATTTTGCATTATCTATCGAAGTATTTGATTAGAAATGGTCCAAATCTTTATTAATACTTATTCTAAGTTTATTGTTGTTATCAGGCTAATTACTATGAAGAGTAAAATAGTTTTAAGTATTTGATTTTTATTTTTTATAAATGAATTTTTGATATTTTTATTATTTTATGATGAGTTTTTTGATATTTTTATTATTTTATGATGAATTTTTCTAAATATACAATTAAACTATTTTCAATTTTTTATATGGCTTGAAGTCACTCGATTTATTTTTGAAGTATTAAATTTGTATGTTATTGATTTTATATTATCAAAAATGGAAATTTAATGTAATTAAATCATCTAAATGTAATATAAGAAATATTTGATGTTTTTAAATAATACTTATCATTTTGTTAGTTTATTTTTTTTAATATGTGCTATGAGATTATTTTTTCTATTTTGAGAAACTATTAGATTTGGAAATTCTGCAAAAAAATCAAATTTCTTGCTAGCAAAAGAACAGGATTAATCAAATAAGAAAGCTAGATAATATATTTAGTTTTAATATTTTTTTATAATAAATAGACAAAACAACCTTTTTTTTGAATTTAACCCCCTATTTAAAAATTTTTCTGAGATGATAAAATGATGATAATAATAATAAAAATCAATGATTTTATGGTCAATTAAATTGTTACTCGTTTCAGTAGTCATAGGATGGAAAAGTTACTAACAAGATTTTCAAAATATTTTCTTAACAGGATACAATTTTTGTCCTAATTATCATATACATATGCCTGGTTTACATCCACATCAATGTGTTTGTAAGTGTTATTGATAATTTTTAGCTTATTCTTAAATATGTTTGGGAGTAACAAAAGTAGAAACTAGAATAGATGTGAATAATTTTGAACATTTATGTCATCCAAGATTCAACACATACAAAATGAAAAATGATAATATCGCAGTAATTTGTGATGGGCAGGATCTTTTCTTGTTGATTCAATTATCAGTGGATAACCTTTTTTCTTATAGTTGTTCTAGTAATTTTAGAAAATAATTATAATAGATAATCTAAATTATTAGAGATGTTTAATTTATTTTCGATCACCTTAATATGAGTCATGCTAATTTTGTAAACATCCTTTTTATGGATTCGATTGTAAAAAAACCTTTTAGGGATTTGATGAAGCAAAAAGTCTTACTTAACCTTTTTGTAATAAAAATGAATTTAATAATAGTTTGCGGCTCTGATACTTGTGTAGAATGTGAAGATAAGGGCAAATGTACAAAATGTGCTTCTAGGTTTATAAATCCAATAGATCTAAGTAAGCCTTAGCTATGTAGTATATGTAAGTTATAGTGTCATTATTTTTAAAAGTTTGTGGTTAGTTCTATTAATAATGCTAATAATTAAGTGATGGAACAATCTAATACATTAATAATTCTTGTCCTTCTGATGCCTTTTATACTACTGAATTTGGGTGCAGAAGTATTGATTTCACTATAAAAATTTATAGCATACGCTTGGGGCTGTATCAATCAATATTTGCTTAAATCTAATTATTACGTTTGTACTCTTTGTGAAAATGGTTATGCAAATCTTATTCAATGGTCTATTCCTGAATAGCCAAGATGGTGTTATAGCCATGAAGGATGTTTAAGTCTTTACACTTACTAAGTAGATGTTATATTACCTTCAAATGAAATTGTTTATAAAGTATTTTTTATCGAATTTTATTAGAGAACTTGTGCTTAATGCGATCTTGGATTTTTTTTTTTCAACAATCTTTGCATAAGTAATTATTTAGTAAGAAATTCGCTAGGAACCTCATCATATTCTAATACTAATTGCTTTTATATGGACTAATTTAATAATAATAAGTGTTTAGCTTGTAAACCATGGAAAAAACTAAATGCAGATGGCTCTTGTTAAGATTTCATTTGCAATTAATATTGCCAAACATGTTTGGAAACTAATCCTAATTTTTGTACATCTTGCAGCATTTATGTAAATCGTTAGCTTGATATCAATTCTGGTACTTGTGTTTGCAAACCATTATTTGGCTCCTATTTTAACATTAATTCTGTTGAATTTTGTAAACCATGCCAAGAGGGGTATTGTAATGAATGTGAACGATTTGATTTTTTTTAATGTACTTCATGCAAACCAGGAACAAATAGAATTTTAATCAATAAAAAATGTATTTGCTAGCCTGGTACTTTCGATACTTAAAATTAAGTTTGTCTTTGTATATATACTAATTCATAATTTAAGTTTGTGATTAATCTTGTCTAACCTGTTCAGGTCCCTCAAATTAATAATGTACTCAATGTTTAGATGGAAGTATATCGAACAGAATTTTTTTCGATAATTCTTGTCCATGTAGATTAGGATATGCAGATTATAAAATTAAACAATCTAAATGTGGAAGTATATATGAAAATAATTTTAGAATGTCATCCAAGATGCCGAACCTGTTTTTAAGCAGCTGATGAAACTACTAACTAATATTGTCTTACTTGTCTTCCTGGAGAAAATCGTTATCTCTCGGATAATTTTAAGTGTGAATGCTAAGATACCTATGGCGACGGAAATGGCACTACAAACATTTGTTTTCGTAATTTCATACATTAAACAATAGCTTGCCATTATACATGTGGAGGCTGCTTAAATACTGAATCCACTGGTTGTATATATTGTTTGGAAAGCTCTAATAGATATTTAACAACTTTAGGACAATGTTTATGTCAATCGTCATATTATGATGATTAAACTGATGATATTGAATGTTAAAGTAATTATATATATTTATTATATGATAAATAGGATGTCATCATTCTTGTAAAGATTGCATACCCAGTCCTGAAAAAGATGCATGCACAAAATGCCCTGAATCTAGAAAACCTAGTGATCCATTAGATACTTAATTTTAATGTATTTGTGAATCTTCAGACACTTTTGATGATGGATTTAAAATGCTTTGTCAATAATGTCATTATTCTTGTCTAACTTGCTATGGTCCATTTTCATCAAACTGTTTCACATGTGATCTAACATATAGATAGTTAGATTATTCATCATGTGTTTGTTAAGATGGTTACTATGATAATGGATAATTAAAATGTGACAGTAAATTTATTTATTAATAGCCATAGATTGCCATTATACTTGTCATAGATGTTTTGATAATACTGAATATGATTGTATTGTATGTTCATTTGAACTTTATTTTAGAGTGCTTAAAGGTAATATGTGTAGATGCGCTGATGGATATTATGAAGAAGAAGGAAAGGCATAGTGTTAAAGTAATTATTATTTTTATATTTATTCATAGAATGCTCATATAGATGTGAAACATGTTAGACTAGTCCAGATAAATGTTTAACTTGTCCCTTGAATTCTCTTCGTTTACTTGATCAGATAAAAGGTTGCTTATGCTAAAATGATTTATACGATAAAGAAAACGAGATAATCTGTTAAAGTATTTTCATTATTAATTGGAGAATGCCACTTTAAATGTAAAACCTGTAGTTCTTTTGGAGAAGAATAATGTCTTAGTTGTGACTTGGTTACAAATAGAGAATTTAAATTTAATTAATGCAAATGTAAACCTCATTACTTTGAATAGGAAGTTTAACAATGCACGAGTAATTATTAAATATAAATTTAGTTTGTAGCTAATTCTGTTATGAATGCATTGAAAAATTTGATAATTGTACTTCTTGCAATAATGATAGATACTTAGAAGGCAGTACATGTAAATGTATCACTAAATTTTTTGGAAGTGCAATCAGTACTTTTGAATATAATGATGGTGTCTAATGTTTAAGTAATCAGATCAAATATAAATAGAATGCCATTATTCCTGTGGAATTTGTAGAGGTGTTAAAGTAACAGATTGTCTTACCTGTTTAGAAAATGAAAATAGATTCTAAGTGGAAAATACTTGTATTTGTAAAAATGGATATTTTGATGCAGGATTACCTGTTTGTTAAAGTATTTATGAATTTTATGTATAGAATGCAATTATAAATGTAAAGATTGTAAGTAATAAGCTGAAAGCTGCACATCTTGTCAAGATAACACCTTTAGATAATTAATTTTAGGTTTTAATAAATGTGAATGTATTTAAAGATATTATGATGACGGAATTAATGAAGTTTGTCAGAGTATCTATTATGATAAATAATTAATAGAGTGCCATTATTCATGTCTTAGATGCAACAACATTCAAACTAAATGTGATTAATGTTTAGTTGAATCCAATAGAACCTATAATATTTAACTTTTTACTTGTGATTGTAAAATTGGATATTACGATACTGGAATTGAAATTTGTTAAAAATGTCACTATTCATGCCTACATTGTAATTCTGGAGGTTCTAATAACTGTGTTTCATGCGTAGATTCAAAAACCTCCCACAGAGTATTCTATAATAATTCTTGTAAATGTTTATTTGGATATTTTGATGATGGTTCATCCATACAATGTTAACAATGTGATATTTAATGTCTAAGTTGTATTGATTAATCTTATTAATGCTCATCATGTCCTTAAACAAGAAAAATAGAATATAATTGTAAATGTTCAGAGGGATATTACGATGTTAATTAATAGCTTTGCTCATAATGTAATTAACAGTGTCAGACATGCGAATTTAACTCAAATAATTGTACATCATGTTATGCTGATTAATTTCGAAATTTCAACTTAATTACTAAGACATGTGATTGTTAATCTGGCTATATTGAAATTAATGGAGTTTGCTAATAATGTAAATAGAGTTGTTAAACATGCTAATTATTAATAAATAATTGTACTTCTTGTAGTAAATTTCGATATTTGGAAAACAATAACTGTATTTGTATCAATGGAATGTTTGAATCAATTTTAGATAATTAATGTCAATTCTGTGATAAAAGTTGTCTAACTTGTAGTTTTTCTAAAACAAATTGCTTAACTTGTTCAATTGATAATTATAGAACTTTAACATCTGGAAATGTATGTGAATGTATGGAAGGATATTTTGAAGATCCAATTACATAAAATTGTGAAAAATGCGAAAAATCTTGTTTAACTTGCTCTCTCTTATCTACTTACTGCTTAACATGTGATTTCAGCCTTCATTTGTTTTTGGTTAATAATTAATGTTTATGTTCACAATCTTATTATTTCGATTCTTTGAGTAAATAATGTTAATGTAATAATTTACTTATATTTAGAATGTCATGTTACATGTCTTGAATGCTCAAATAAGAATGAATGTATTTCATGTGAATTGATAACGAGACATCTAGATTCAGACTTAAATAAATGCTTATGTAATATTGGATTTTATGAAATAAACTAATAGAATTGTTAAAGTAATTAACTATTTAATTATTTTAGGATGTCATTTCTCATGTGAAACCTGTGAAAATATAAATACTCATTGTTTAAGTTGCATGGAAGACTATAATCGAATTTTAACAAATAATAAATGCTTGTGTTTAGATGGTTATTATGAAGTTGAAATTGAATAATGTCAGAAATGTGATAGTATTTGTAAAACCTGTTAGTTCTCTGCCTCAACTTGTTTATCTTGCTTTGAAATTGAATAATTGAGAATTTTATCTGGAAATAAATGTTTATGTTAATCTGGTTATTTTGAATTAAACAATGATGTTTGCTTAAGTACTAATATTAAATTTTAAATAGAATGCTCAAACGAATGTTTAACTTGTCGTGGATCTGCTAATTATTGTACAAGTTGTGATACTAATTCAAAACGAGTTGATTAATCCATAATTCATATTTGTCCTTGTATTATTGGATTTTATCAAGATTAAAATTAGATTTGTTAAAGTTATTTTTCACATATTTATTATTAGAATGCCACATTAAATGTCAAACTTGTATAAATTAATTTGACTAATGTTTGAGTTGTTATTTTTAATTAGATTCAAATAGAATGTCTATTTTTGGATAATGTAATTGTAAGGAAGGATATTTTGATGATGGAACATAAATCTAATGTTAAAAATGTCATATTAAATGTACGCTTTGTTAAAATGAATCAAAAAATTGTTTAATATGTTCAGATTCGAAACGAATTAATCCACCAACCTGTAATTGTATGGATGGATATTATGAAGATGAACAATTTACATGTTAAAGTAAATTATATTGTTTAAATAAGCCTGCTCTTCTAAATGTAATACATGTTAACAATCCCCCTCAAATTGTTTGAGTTGTAACCCTGGAAGGGTTGGATTTGAATGCAAATGTGTTGATGGGTATTATGAAACTGGAGCAATATTTTGTGAATGTATAAAAAAATTTAAGTATTTAGAATGTGCATTTAAATGTGCCACTTGTCTTTTAGATCTTTTGAATTGTGAAACTTGCAAAGGTAATAGAATTTAAGTGCCTCAATGTATTTGTTAAATAGGATATTTTGATGATTTAATAAACGAAGATTGTTAATAATGTGATAGTACTTGTTTAGAATGCAATAAAAATGGGTGCATATCTTGTAATGCAAATAGGATTTTAGATGAAGAAAATAACTGCATCTCACCACCAAATTCAATTTAGTATAATAATACTCCTTGGTGTTCAAGTAATTATCTGCATTATAATAAATAGCTTGTCAAGTTGCAGTTGTTCATATTTATTTATCAGATGATATTAGTTAGATTATTATTCATTTTGATTTTCTTTTGAGTTCATAAGGATTTAATTCAGAGTTTGAAGTTAATAAATGCTTATCATTATTTGAAATAAAGTCTGTGTATAGTTTTGGTTAAAATGCTATCTGCTATCTTAATCCAGATAACAATCAGTAAATTTTGATATCTTTAGGTGAAAACTCAAAAATAAATGTAGGTGATGAAATTATATTTATAAGTAATTCAATATCTCACATTAACTGTAAAAATTCGATATAAAAGTTTATATTTACAACTTTATAGATGCCAATAAATCTACTTCCTCCAAAAATTGAGTATAATGTACCTACTCATAAACTTAACCCATATGCTGAAAACTCGATAAATTTAAAATCGATAAAAAATAATGGATTTCGAAAATTAGACAATATTATTTGGAGTTTTGAAGTAGAAGGAAACAAAAATACTTAAGCACTTAATGACTTCTTAAATGATATTAACTTTTTATAGGATTATAACTTATTGCTACCAAAAAATACTTTGCCACTGTAGGCAGTATTAAAATTTAAGATTAAATATTAAAATTTCATAAAAACTGCCTCCTTTTCTGAATTTACATTATAAACACATACTGGAGAACTTCCTTAAATTTATTTAGTTGTTTAACCCTCATATTTTGTTTATGAAACAATTAAAATTTAGGTTTCTGCTGGTTTGTAAAATAAGTAAATTTCAGACGATAAAGCAAAATACTTAATTTAAGTTCATGAAATAGATAAGTATCCAAAGAAATCTTTATCTTCAAAATTGAATATATCATCTGAAACTAATGCCTTTGAGACAGTTTAAGGAAATATTTCAAAATACACTTTAAGTCCAAATTCAACATATACATTTTAAATTATTGTAAGAAATTTAGAAACTGATGATGTTCAAAATTAAAATTTCACAATAAATATTCTTTATTCTGGATTTATTTGTAAATTTAATAATGGAGGTTTATAGAGTGTTAGAAAAGATTTTTACCTCAAAATAGAATGCAAAGATTTGGACACTAAACTTGAATGGAACAGTGACCCAGACTTGGATATATTAGTGTCTTGTAAGGATCTATCATAAAATAATGTTTGCTAAAATGAAGTTAATAAAACTGATTATTTCCAATTCATCAGAAGGAATTTCATCCCTGCTTTTACAGTATAAAAATGGACAGTTCATGTATCGAAATTTTTATAATCTTCTGAATTTTCATTAATTGTCATCTATCTTGAAGATGATTTTCCTTTATTAGAGCTGGAATATAATTAAGGCTATTTAATGAGAAAGGTTAATAATTATGAATAGCTCAATTTTACATTTGTAATTCCTGATTTTTAAAAACCTTATTTATTTGAACTTTCAATTGCAATTATATATAATTATGAATTAATACAAATACTTGAACCAAAATATATTTCTCATACCTTTAAGTTATCAAATAGTCTTAAAGAATTTAATTTTGATGACAATGTCAACATTAAATTTATGGCGTAATTTTCAAACAATATAATGCCAAGCTTAAACAATATCAAATTAAGTATTAATAAGCCTCCTTTTTGTTCAAAATTATTTATTACTCGTTCGAGTGATTTAGCACTTACTAATATTTAAATTGCAATAACATGTGAGCAATCAAATGATTCCCCTTACAAATATTAACTTAGATTATTTTTGAGAGAAAAGGATTTAACAGATTTTTTGCAAGGGTCATCAGATAATTCCTTGATTCTTTATCCATTTTAGATTTAAAATAAATTTTCGATTTAAACACCTTCTTCTATTGATTCGTCTAAAATTGTAGTTTTAATATAAGTGCTTGATAGTGGAGGATCAATATCTTAATCTTTTGATAAGATTACTACAAAACCTGCTCAAATAGATTGCTCTTCAGTATAATTTGAAACATTGGCTTTATAAAATAAAATTCCATTACTATTTGAAGCAATGAATCAATAATGTGATTAATTACATAGCAGAATTTATTTTGATTTGCTTAATTCAAAGATTTTGTCAGATTTGAATGATAACATCCTTAAATTTTAAGCAGTAAAATTATATAAGTTATTTTAAATCTAAACATCATCTAATCAACCTAAAATTCGTTTATTAAAAGAAGATTCTTAAAAAATATGCTATAATTTAAATTCAACTTATTTAGATATTAAATCAGATTCCATACAAGAATATATTAATCCAACAATAAAAATAGACGATTTTTAATAAAGTATTAATAAATTCGATAAAACTCTGAAATATTTTCTTAAAATGAAAAAAGAATTGCAAGAAAAACTAAATTAGAATTAATTTGCTTGGAATGAAGAAATCTTTCAATAATATGAAAATTCTTAAGAGGGCATCATGAATCTATTATACTAACTTGATGAGATTTATTTGGAATTCTCTGCCTTAAATGAAAAAAATGAAACAATTTACCAAACTATTGTTGAATTACTGAAAAATATTAATGTGATTGCAGATTAAATATAAGATTCTATTTTGGTTAACTCTAAGCCTTTAATCATTATTGGTAAAGAGATTATTTGGCAGATCAAAAGAATAACAAAGAAATTTTTCAATTAATAATTTAATATTGAACCTTCATAAGAAGACTATTTGATTGATTTTGTTTAACTTGAATCTACATATCTTTAATCAAATCCTCTAAGATTTAAACAAGATCTGGAATAATAAATTTAAATATATTTCAATGACTAAACTTTACGAATTTATACTGAAAATTATTACTAAATTTAATTAAAAATTTTTTATCACAGAAAATTTCTTGCTTATGAAAACTTTACTTCCGTTTTTAGCACAAAATTTGGATCATATTAATTGTGTACCAATATTACAGAATTATCATAAGAATATGAAATATAATGTGTAGTGAGAACAACCTCAATGAAATTTTATTAATGTATTTTGAATAAAGTTCAAAATAATGATACCATTGAATTTTTTTGTTATTGTAAAAATATAGGTGATATTTTCTTAATAACCTCAAGTAATTATACTAATTTAAACACTAATAATGAAGAAATATTTAATTTTTTCACTAATTCAACGATTGAAAATTCAATGGAATTAAGTATATTTGCTGGTTCTTTAACACTAATTTTTATAACTAATTATATTTATCATTTATATAAAGAATGGAAAGATAAGGAAGAAACAAGTTAAACTGAATTAAGTAACAATAGTCAATAAAATGTTCTAGATAAAAATTAATTTATGTATCAAGGTAATCATAAAATATTCAAAGATAAATTGAAGGTAATTTTGAATATTATCATTAGGAAATCCATCAAACTATTTCAATATTTTGTTATAAAGACAAAATAATTAACCTGAGTTTTAGGATGTTAGAAATTTTTACTTAGTTAAATTTATTATTAGCTTTAGCTATTTTAGAATGTTATTTGCGGAATAATTAAATTCTTGAAATCAGTTTATTCATCGTGACAAATTCTATTATAATTTTGATTTTGAGAACACTTTTTAAGATAATCGAATCAATTTATAGATTTAAAAAAATAGCAGCTTTGATTAGTCAGTTGATTCTTATTTTGTTATTGACAGCTCCCAACTTTGCTTTAATTGTTTTGGATTTATTAAAGTATTGTATGATATTTATTTAGTGTATAAATGTAATCTGAATCATATGAAGTCTTCATAATCTTTTTAGGGAATATTCTAATTTCATAAATGATTATAGAACCGCTTACAATTTATACTAGAATAATAATTTATAGATTGATAGCAAGAAGTATAAAGAGTATGAATCTCAACCCTATTCATCATTTCTTGCATTTTTTTGTAATGCATAGCAGTTTAGAAGAAATTTTTGATGATTTTGCAAGAATTTGAAAAATAATATTATAAAATGAACATTTTGTTAATTTTTTGTAAACAATTGTCAGATTGAAGTTACAATTTTGACAATCATTTAAAATTTTTAAATATATATATTTTTTTAAATACAAATTTTTGAGATATCATCATTATTTGAGACAAACATTACTATGACCACAAAAAATTTTAATTATTACATATGATTTTAATTCATTTTTGTAGGATGGATGGTCATAAAGTTGTAATTGCTTTTTTAGCTTCTGAATAATTTTTAGAGATTTATGGATTTGATTCATCCAGGCTCTAATAATTACCTACCTACCGACTAAATAATATAGTTGAGGCAATTGCAAATCTGAGGACAGTTTACATGGACTATATACATCCTGATAAAATAAATTCCTGGGTACTATGATTCACAAATTGTCTTTTACTAGTGAATATAATGTTTTGTCGACAATTAAATAGTCGAGGTGAAGTTGAAATTTTAAATTGAAAAATTTATATGAGAGAATTCATAAGTTAATTGTTTTATAAACGTATTAAATAAAATAAAAAATTTATTATTTTATATAAATATAACAATATTTCTAAAATCTTTTATTTTATTCAATTTGAAAGTAATTTTATACTAAAAGAAATAGATTTAGGATCATTCAGCTAAATCTTACCAGAAGAAGAGGCATATTGCTTTATACAAGAATGAAATAGTTAAGCCCTGCCAAAATTGTGTCAGCAACAGCAACAACAAGAGTTAATGTAGAATCTTACTCTTAGTATGGGTGAAAAGTGTTCAGCCGCCCTATGTCAATCAATTTCATTATCTCTATCAGTATTCCTAATCATAAATTATTTGAACCTGACGAAAGAATTTCATATAAGGGCATCGACTAGGCATCAGAAGCATGGACAGGAATCCAAAAAGATTAAAAAAATAAAATTAATTTAAAATTTCACTTCATAACCCTTACTCCAGATTTTTAGAGGACTTGAACCCACAGGAATTAGCTAAATCCTGGATCTCTGTTAAGATATTAGGGATTATATAAAATAGATTAGAAAAGAAATATTGTCAATTATTCGCATTCAATCTTAATTAAAGAAATATTATTAATATTCTTAGTGATAATCTTTATGATCTCAAATTAAAGATTATTAAGTTTTAGAATCTGCATCAAGGAAATAATTTTTATGAAATACCACTTTAGTAACATTCACATGAGATATGTTAAAGTAATTAATGTATTATATTTATTATTTAAAGTTATTCTTCCCTTATATTGTATTTAATATGGGAATATTGGAAATATAATTTAATATCTGATGAGCTTGAGTTTATTATGTTTCTACCTTTATTTTATTTTAAATTACTATAAATTACATCTAATAGTAGAAATAGAATATTTATTGTAAAATGCTTTTAATCATTTGGTATTTGGTGTCTAATTATTTAAAAATAGTAATATATTAATAATATCATTGATCAAGGTATATTCTTAGTTTTATACAATCATAATTTAAAATTGATGTAGTAAATTTCTTTGAAAAAGTTGATATTTTACATTAAATGTAATATAAGATTAAGCAATGTTGTTAATTTTTTAATTTTTTAATTTTTAAAGAAATAATGAAAGAAGGATAAGAATGGATGTAATGAAGTTTATAGAAAATAGGGGTTTTAAAATTATAAATATATATTATTCATTGTATAAATTGTTTTAGATAAAATATAAATTATGTAATCTGGATTGTTTAGACCAAATATCAAAAATTTTTACTTTTTTTATATTCTTCTAAACTTATTGGGTATTCACATGGTTTGTTTGATTACTTACATAATTTACATTTTTTGATATCAAATTCTGGTTAATCAATTTTTTGACCTTTAACTATCCATTGTTTATAGTCAGGACAACCTTATCTATGGTAATGATTGCCATGACTTATTATTGGTACTCTATCAACCGAACAGGCTGAACATAATTCTTTTTAGCAACTAAAACAGCGTACATGATTGCATTTATCATCTTTTGTTTACATTAAATTACAAAAGGGACAAACAAGAACTGGTTAACCCTTCATTGCTTTGTAAATTTCTACAGATAAACTTGGACATTATTAATTCTAATATATTTTTAAAAATTTTACTTATTAATTTTTACCATGATATTCTTGTCTACAAAGACTACAAAGTTTTTTTTGACATCTTCTGCATTCAATCTAAATCTATTGTGATAAAATCTCCTAACCTACATCAATTGGTAAAGAGCATGAAAAACATTTTATAGGAATGCTTGCTAATACTTGTTTTTTTACGATTTCACCAAAAAGTTACTTAGTAATATTTTCCTTAATAAAATTCTCATTATTTTCCAATGATTATTCACAGTTACAACATTTTACATTCTTAAAATTCAAATTTTCTTTTGCTTTTGAACATAAATCCTCTTAGATACATTCTTTGTGAAGTTTTTTTTAACAACAAGGAGTTAAAATAGCCTGATTTGAATTTACATTATAAATTTCAGTACAAATCGGGCATTCTTAATTTTCGTTTTGACTTGAAAAAGTTAATAACCTGGTTTATTTTTTTAATGGTTTATCCTCTTGTAGAGAATTTATTACTTATGTTGAAAATACATTTTCATTTGATTTTTCAATTGATTTTTGCATCATTTATTAAAAATCATTATTTGTAGAAAAAAATAAGTGAGCTATGCTGCCATCCTTTCCATCAGTTACATACAATACTATTCTATATTTTAAATCTTATTCATTTAAATCATCAACCTACATACCATTTAAACATTTATAAAATGAAGGATTTCTGTATGCTACATGTTTTTCATATATAAAGCTTTCCTAAAAACATTTACCAATAGATTAAAATTCATCGCTTTGAGGAAAAGGGTTTAAAGAGTTTTTCTGAAAAATAAATTTACTAAGAGAAATTAATAAATCAAATGTTAAATCATTAACCTAATGGTTTAAAAATTTAACAAAGTTATTTCTCACAGTTTATTTTTAAGAGAGTTGTATAATTTAATAAAATAAAGCCCCGAAACACACTTCAATTTCTAAAGTGCTAAACTTTATTATTGGGAAGGAATTCCATTTCAAAAGTTTTGGTTTCAAATGTTCAGGAAAATATAATTAATTTTTCTTTATATATTCCAGAACTTCTTATTTAGAATGGGTCATGAGGGATTGTGGGATCCATTTTTCATATTCGGTCATTTTCTATTAAATTTTAATTTGTAAAATATATATTATTATTCTAACAAAAGATGTATCACTGTTAATATATTGTATTATTTAATTCAAAACATGCTAACATAATTCATTTCAACAAATTTAAATTCAATGGAAACAATTAACTTTAATATTTTATTGGATTATCTAAAAAAGTCTCATAGATTAATTAGACAAAAATTTTTAAAAATATAATTCTTATATATATTTATGACAATTATAATATTTTAAGTTCTGTTTTAGAGATACTAAATTATTTAATAAAAGATGATTAATTTTTTGTATATAATTCCTAAATTTTATTTAATTTAGATAATATGTAAAAATAATATCAATGCTTTGGAATTGTAGTAATCTAATATCTTACTTATTTGAATTCAGACTTTTAATTTTATATATTTCGGGTATAACTATTCAATACTAACTAGGATGCTACATGTATAACTGTGTTATGAAATCATAAAATTAATGTCTGGATATCATGCAAATCATAAAAGTGTATTCATTCAATCAACAATAGTATAATTTACACGCACAATCCTTATTAAGTTATGAATACACGTTAAATGACCTCAAAGAAAAAAAATTCTTATTATTGATGTTAATGAATACTTAATATTGAAGATAATTAAATTACTATCTCAAATTTAATTTTAAATGATAATGATTAACTCAAAATTTTAGAATCGGTTAGTTGAAATAATTGAGATTAATAAGTACCATAAATGCAAGAACAGCATAAATATATATATTAATTATTTAAATATTTTGTTACAATGCTTATAATTTGTTTAGTTTTAATATAAAGATAGTGAGTATTTTCGACTAAAAGGAATGCAACTAATCAATATCAAAGGAAATTTATTTGATTAACAGAGAATGAATTTCAACCGATAATTGTTTGACTAATGGATTATGGTCAAGGGGCAATACTTAGTACAATAAATAGATTATTCGATAGTCAGCATTTTCATTCATATAATGCAATTAATTAATATTCATAAAATTTAAATCTTATACTTTATGATAGCTTAGATTTTGTTTCGAAGAAAATAATTAAAATCATACTATTTGTAATTAATTTGAATGAATAAGATAGATTTGTGATAGAGATCGATGCATTTGACTATTAAAACACTTGGTATTACTTACAATTTTATAGCATGGCTGTTAAAGATTATATTTAAATTAATTGTCATAAAAAGGTAGGAACCTTAATTTTCAACAATAGAGCATATGAAATAATCATTTAATAATGAAAACTAAATTCTAACATTTAGAGGTAGTTTAATAGTAAAGGACGAATCAAATATTGTTTAATACGTAATTGAAAGATATGAGATATAAACAAGGGGAAATATTCTATTTTATAAGATTATTTAAAGTTTACTATTAATTTTGATTTCATTGATATTGTAAAATTAAGAATATTTTAGATTTGAAAATTTGTTTGTTGATCAAATTAGAATTTCTGGATTTGAGATAAGGATTTCGAAGAAAAGGATTTTTATATTTCTGATAATAAAAATAGTCATTCATTTATATAAGTAGGAAGAGATCATAAATACATCTAAAATACTATTTATTTATTAACTAATAAAAATTTGAGCACATTTACAAAATCCAATTATTTTGAAATGAAAATTTGTCCCCCTTTTAATTATTTTATTTATAGCCCCATTATTAAATGACATAGAAATCACTACAAATAGTTATTTTTTATAATAAAAATTGTCCGGTTAGCTTAATTTTTAGTTTAAAAATTATCTTATCGAACATTTTTTAAGATTTTCACTCTGTGGGGCTAAATTTTTGAGATTAAAGCACACAAGAAGACTCAATAAATTTTAAATATTACCATAAATCAAATAGAAAATAATATATTATCAAGTGAAAAAGGTTAAAGATGCTTTAGTTGTCAAAAAATAAATTATATCTAAAATTGATCAATTCTTTTTTATCAAATATTTTTATTAGGATGAATACTCATATTTTCACTAAAATTCATCTAATAATCAAACATTATTTTATTATAAGATACTAACAAATAAAATTGTTCATTATTCAATGAAATATTTAAAGTATAATTCTCATCATCTAATAAAAATATAATTATAACTTAAAGTATGAGATTATATAAAATGATGAAGAATGATGAATTATTTTTCTAAAATTCGAGATTTATTCATTTAAGAAATAACAGATACTAAAGATAATTAAAATTCTCTAATTTCATTTCGAAATTGAATTATTTAGATTTTGAAATAGAACCATCGTTAATTGCTTCTAATTTGTCAATTAACTTAAGTTAAAACTATTAAATATTATAATTGAACTCAAGGTTGATCATAATCTTGAGTCTAAAGACTAATCTATAAAAAATGCATAAATAATTTAAAAGAACGATTTAATGGTATTAAAATAGAAGAAAAAAATAACTACAATTGAAGAATTAAAACAATTTGGATTCAAACTATAGAATTCTTGTATTTAAATAATTATTTTGGAGAAATTATAGAGAATAAAAATTAAATTTAAAATATTAACTAATCATATAAAAAAATGAGCATTTGCTTTAGGCTTAAACTACCTTAGTAAAAGAGAAATCTTATATACAATTAAATTTTGAATTAAATACTGATTATGCAGTAACGAAACCATATAACTATATATAATTAAATTTAGTTTAAAAATTAAAACTAAAATGAATAATGTCATGAATAAGCATTCAATCTTAATGAATCCATTACAGAATCTAAGAGATCATCAAAAGTTAACAAAATGTATTGTTCTTAGTAAAACTATTATTGATTTTTCTCTGAAAGGGAGGATCTCAAAGATTTGAAGCTGAAAAGAAAAATAAGGTTGGTTTTTTTCTACCAAACTAGAGTTTAGTACTCCATATAATTGATGTATAAAGCTAAATTTGTAGGAATCTTTATGATATTTTTCCCAAATTCTTAAGCAGTGTAGAAAAAGTAATAATGATGATACAAAGTTAATATTAAAATTTTTGTTACTCTCTAAATATATGCCATCTCCTATGATAACTCTATTTTTTATGATGATTGATCTATTAATAATAAAGCTAGAAAATTCGCCTTTGATATATAAACCTCATCCCAAATCTTCGCATGATTGTAAATAAAATTTCCTTATTTTTCTTTTTAGATTCACACTTTGTAAGCAAATATATCAATAGTAGTACTATTATTGGTGATTATAAATTTGCTAAAATTGTAGGACTAAAAATCATAAAATTAATATTTATATGAACACATCTATTTTTAAAGTTATAGCTTTCTCAAAATGACCTTAGATTCTTATTGATTCACCTTATTTTGAATGGTATTGATTATTATAAGTCATCATTTACATGAAAAACATAGTCACCATTACTTAGGCATTTATAACACTAATATCTATTAGAACTGCATGACTCATTAAACAAACTAATTAAATATTATTGTGATGTTGTTCTATTAAACACTTTATAGAAAGTTCTTTGCCTTTATCATATTAATATATAAGATAAAATAAATAGAAAATGTGATAACAAATCATTATTAGGGGTTGTTAATCGATAAGATTTAATCTAATAATTAGACTAAATTATTTCTATAATGGAAAAATGGATTTCAAATCTAGATTTTCAAAGATCTAAAGATCTAAGGATTATTAATAATATAGTTTTTTATGAGGAATTAAAAAAAAATAACAACAATTCCAATTTTTAATAAATGATCCAATTTTAGAAAGCAATAGCTAATAGATATTCTATATGCATCTTTCTAAAAAGAAATGATAATCTTTAAATTTATTGAAGGATAATTGAATTTAGTTTGAAACCAAATAATTCAGAAAGTTATTGTAAATTCTTCTAAATATATATATAACTTTGAAATTTTAAGAGAGCATACTTTTCATCAAATAAAAAAATATAAAATTTCAATTATATGTACAACAAATAAAAATAAAATATTGATGATTGAGTATTTTTTTCTAATACACAAGTAATTTTATTCATATACAACTTTAATTTTAACATTTGTTTTCTTTGAAATTTTTTAAAGAAAATTCTTGAAAAGTAACCAATTTATTTTAAATTTAAGAGATGTTTTTTGATAGCATAAATATATAATTATAGCATAAGAACAGTAATTTAAAATAAATATTAGTAACATATATAATTATATTAAACAACTGAATTTAATTTAAATATTAATATTTAATGTGAAAAATTAAAGATGTATGATAAAATTGAAATTGCATCAATGTAAAGAGTTTTTGAAAATAAAATGGCTTTTTTGATACTAAAAAATTAAAATATACCTAAAAAAAAGAAAGTTTCATTTGGAACTAAATTTGATTATTTCATGAAACATTAACACATTAATGAGTAAGTTTTATGCAAATATTTCTGATAATTAGAAATAAATTATTAAACAAACTCTCCATTATTATCTTATTAGTAATTAATAAGAAAAATGAAGATGTATATTCTTTTATATTTTACTATTTTAGAAAATTAATGAAAACTAAACAATAAGAAAGCCATTAAAAATTTTAGCGAAATTCTATGCATTTATTAAGAATTTTATTATAAAGTTATCAATTATCTTAAAATAAATTTAATATATTAACGAAATTAAGATAAAATTATTATCTATTAGGTTTAATTTCATATTAGCAATTTGCTTTTGTACACAAAAAGCATTAACCTATAATATAATAGGTTTGTATGATAGAATTTATTCATAATTTCATTTATTATTACAGCAGCTACTTTAGGTTATCTCTTTTCATTTATTTTTATAATGAAAGTAATTTCACATTTAATTTTATTTTTAGATTATAGTATTTTATGTTTATTTTTTACTAATGTAGTATTAGAAATTTATGTAAGGTACATTAAATAAGAGTATAAGCCTTCAAGTAATATGATATATCAACATATTAGAATATGGTGTCTGTAGCATCATTTTAATATTCATTTTCTCAATTTTATCAATTTTCTACTATTTAGATATTTGGTTATAATTATTGATTTGTGGAATTTGAATAATGTTGTTTGAAATATTAATAATCCATTCTGTAAAATTGATTATAGAAAAACTAGTATATATAATTATTAAAATAAATAGAAGTTGAAACGAACTGATAAAGATTATATTAAAACAGCACCAATTATTTTTTGTGTTACTATAATTTCATTTTTAGCTTTCATTTTAATAATAGTAATATTTTTAGGATTATTATGCAATTCGAAATGTTCAGAGAGTCTAATTGATGATGGTGGAGATGATAGTTGATATCACTATATATATAAATATTTAATTAACTAGAATTAGGATAATTATATTTAAAATATTTTCAAAATTTTTAACTTCAGAAATATTTAATTTTTGTTTTTTATTCTTTCATATTTTAATAATGATTGTAATTAATAATTTATTTAAATATATTTTAATTTTAGGATTTTATTAATTTTATGACTGGAGGCCATGAGTTTTATTTTCTGAATATTCTTCAACTTATTTTTATTGAAAAAAAATAAATCAAGTTACAAATTAAAATAATAATTAACTCCTGATCATTAAAATAAAAATTAATTTAATTTTAGAAGCCTATTTATCTTATATTATTAATTTAATTCATCCATTAAATTGTGTTTGTGATTCTATTGATTTATAAGAAATTAATTTAAAAAGAAGGTTTTACAGCTAATTTTCTTTATTTTAGTAATATTTTTGAATAACACTTAAAATGTTGAAAAAGAAAATTCATTAGATTTTAATTATTAAAAATATAATCAATCTGAATCAACCTAAATAATAAATTCTAAACTAAAATGTTCATTCAATACTGGTAATAATTATTCCTTGATTTTCCTAATTAAGAAAACTAAGAAATTTATTGCTGAAATTAGATTATAGATAATTTCACTCAAAAACAGATTATAACCTTAAATAATAAATTTTAGGTTTAAAATAAGAGCTAATATTAATAAATGTATCCTTATTATTTATAATTTTAAATATTAAGTAGCTTGAATTAATTTTTCCCCATAACACTATAATTAGCTTTATTTATAATAGATTCCTTAAATCTATTATATTTAACCCAATAATTTTGAGCAAATTTTGTATTTATTTTAAAATTGTCAGAGAGAATAAATATATTGTATTTATGTCTTAATAAGAGGATTTTCTGTTTAATAGAAGATAATCGGAAATAAATTATAATCATACCCTCTTGGTTATTAAATATTAATTTAATCTATTAGTTAAATTATTCTTTATGCTACTCCTCCTACAATTTTAAAAATCTTGTCCATTTTAATTTTCATTAATCCATCTAACTTATTTTTTTTTATGAAGTAAGCTTTAGTAGTAGAGTGTTTAGTTGATTAATTAAACTGATTTAGCATTTTAACCTTAGTATTAAAAGATTTTCGATAAAAAATTATTTAAACACTCATAAAGTATTAAATATTCTCATCCAAATAATGAATTACCACATATAACTTAAATAGTCACTCTGATTGAATTTAATGATAAATTAAAAACACTAATTTATCTTAATTAAAAGGATTAGATTCAAAAATTTTTTTTTATTTATTAAGAATTTGATTTTAGCAATCAACTCGTAAATTCTAAAGAATAAATATCATCTTGTATATTTCCTTTTATAATTCTTTAATTTTTATAATTTAATACCAATATTTATCTTCTTTTGTTTTGATAAAATCATTTAATTGGAAAACAAATTCCAATTTTGTGGGTTTTTCAAAATTCTTTGGAAATTTTCTCTAATCCCTTTGTATAAATTTTATTAAGTTACTTAGGATATTTTTTAAACAAAAAAGAAACATTTTTTTAAGATTTTCTTTTTAGAAAATTATCAACTTCAATGCGTTGTTTTAAAAATCAAAATATTTATAAATTATTGATAAAATAAATAAGTTATAATCAAATTAAAATTGATGATAACACAGGTTTGTCTAAATATCATAAAAGATTAATTCAATGATTTATTTAAATTAGAAAAATCTGAGTAGAAAACTAAATAAAAATTTATTTTATATTATATATAAACAGAGTTAATAACTATGAAATAATTCCATAAAATAATGTATAATTTTTGCCTTTTCCAAATTATCTAGGCAATCAAAGTTAATCAGACTTTTTATCATATTTAAGAAACTTCTATTTATTAATTTGAAATTTTAAGTGCAAAAACATCTTTTTTATAGATTCATTTTTCATCCATAATTCATATTTTAACTTTCAAATATATTTATGGGGTTAATCATCCAAAACGGAATCAAACCTTTGATCTTAAGTTTAATATTTAAATTATCAAAAAATTTCATCCATACCAATTAAATGAGACATTCCTTCCCATAAGCTTTGATTAAAATTTATTCATATAAATATGAATTTAAATATTAGTCTTAAGTTTGGTCGAAAATTTATAAATTTATTTTAGATTCAATCTAAAAAATGAAAATAAAAATAATGGATGGGAAAATCTAAATATTGAACAAAATGATAAATTTATTAGCCTAGAATTTTAATAAATAAAGAATGTTTCTCTGTAAGCCTCTTACCATAATAATTTCAAGCTGTTCTTCTTTATATTAATTTGAATTAATACATAAACTATCATATATTCAATAAATAAAGATATATTTCAGAATAGTTTAATTTTAAGTTTAAATGAATATATTAATAATCAAAATTATTTTATTAATAATTCTAATGGGTCTATATTTTAATTTGAAAATTCTAAATCAATAGATTCTATAGGTTTAACACATAGCCTATTAGATTCTTTAATATTTCCTAAAGCAATCTAATTAAGGTCAATTTTTCCACCCATCTAATGACTTTATAATAATACTATATCCCCAAACTGTTGTTAAAGAATAAATTAAATCCTAGATATTTCATACAATATATTATTAAGTTTACATTTTTCTTTTGCTCTTGTCTTTAAATTGAAATACTTATCTTATAAATTAGATATGGATGGTTTGAATTGATCATTGTTTTTATCAATTGGAAATTTAAATTTATTAAAAATATCAAGTTAAAATACTTTGAATTCTGGATAATACATTGTTATAATCTCATTCAATAGTTCATTTTCTAATAATTTTGTATTATAATATAACACTATATGTTTCAATAAAAATATTAATTAAACAATCGATCCTATTTAAGCCAATATTTAACCTAATTTTGGATGAGTAATCTCTTCTTTAATTGATATATTGTCAATTCTAATCAGATAGCAACCATAACTATCAAAATTATAAGTAAAGTTTGACATTGTATTTATTATTTTTTATGAAAATGAATTATCAATTACTTAATTAATAAATTCATAGTCATTTAGAAACGAGAAACGTTCATAATTATTTAATACTATACCACTATCAATAATAGTTTCCTATTACTTTAATAAAATTTAAGAATATTGAGGTAAGTTAACATCAAAACTTGTATAATATAACTTATTGAAATATTCAAAATCTTTTGTTCTATAATTGAATTAGCTTAATTTAATATTAAAAAATAGAAAGCCATGATATTTGGAAAGGTAAGTATTAATAGTATTCTCATCAGCACAATAACTTCCATTAACAGCAAAAACATTTGAGCATCTAGCTAAAACTATTAAATATTGTTTTTGCTTTTAAAGTTTTACATCCTATTAATCTAGAGTATTTAAAATAAGAGAAGCATTATTTAATTGTATTAGATAGGGTTATTCAAGAGTATTATATAAAGCTATTGGCTCTTCATAAATAGTTTTATCTATATATGTAAATAAAAGAGGAGTGATTATATTATTTTGCTATTGAAAAGGATCTACATCCCCTGAAAAGTCTTGCAATGATATTTATAATGTTGAATCTTGTAATTAAAACTCAGTATAACCTAAAGTTTATTTTTTAGTACTGATATTCGGAGCAATTTGAATAACTCATCCATAAAATTATTACATAAAAAAAGTAAATTAGACTAATACTTCCTAAACCCACTGTTACAATTCCACCAAGTTTGCTTTAATATAGTGGATTATTTTTATTTGTAAGTAGAAAAATTGGTACACCAAAAACATCTATTTTTTGAATAGTACTCAATAATATGTTCATTAATTCTGAAATTATTTAAAAATATAAATGTAGTATTTAAGAATCCAATTTTAATATTGCTATTAGATTTACATAATCGAAAATTTATTTTTATATTGATTATATGTATAATCTCCTTCTATATATTTAAAATACTTACGACTAATCTTATACTTTATAATTAAGAAAAATAAGTGAAGTTGAAATTAGCATAGATAGATTAATAGGTTTGCAGAAGTAGACATCAGATAGATTATCCTTAAAAAAATTCACATAGCATTATGACCTAAATCTTGAACTTATTCTGACAAAATTAGAATTACTAAGAGAACATTAAAGAACTCGTTTATCTAGAATATAATAAAAAGATTTCTATAGGTTAATCACTTAAACTAGATAAGATGGAGAAATATCATTCCAATATAAACTGTTATAGTCTTTTTTTTTTGATAATCTAAATTTTAGTTTTACCTTATTTAAACATCGTTTCTTGGGCTCTAAAAGAAATTATTATTATGCTATGCTTAAACATGAGGAAATTATAATTCAAACATTTCTTTGAGTCCTTATTCTTAAAGGGTATGAATATCCCTTTTAAATAGAATTTGTTTTCATACATATTGAAATTAAGAATTACAAGATATTTACAAATATTAGGCCATCAAACGTTTTAAATAAAATGAAATCATAAAAATTAGCATTCTTTACTGCTTCTTTCGATTTCCTCTTTTGTCGTACAATCAATCAAATTATTAAATATTATTTATTTGAAAACTATTTAATTTAGACAGATTACACAAAATGTAAAGAATGAATAAAATATAATTTTACGATCATCAATCATAATTGTATTTATAATCTAAATTAGACGATAGGCTAACATTGATTTCATAATTGTTAAATAAATGTCATTGAAGAATAACTAAATTAAATTTAAACCATGTAGTTCAAATTTTTTATTTTTTTGAAATTTCTTTTTAAATAATATGAACCTTTATCAATGTTTAAATTTAATATTAAACTCTTAATACACCATTATAAAAAGTTTTTTTAAAGATGTATTTATAATTATAATTTAGAAATTATATTGTTATGATATTATGTAATTATCAATTGAAACAATAATCAATTTCACAAAATAATGCTTCCTGATTGTTTGAATAATGCTTTTAAATCTATACCTAAATGATTTTCAAATTCTCCTTTTAAGATTAAAGCACAATTAACTTAAAATAAAGGCTATTGGGATATAAGAAGAATAGTAATATTAGAGGTTACTAAATATTTAAAAAATTAATACAATCTTTTAAAGGAGGATTTTATTTTATTTAAGGACTTTAAAATTAAGCTAAAACATCTTTGTAACTTTCATTGTATGGTTCAATTTCTTACCCTGTTTTATAATCCCATAATCTAACAGATTTATCTACAACTCCAGATGCTAATGTAGTACCATCAGGAGACAAAAAATACTGACTGACCATCCAATTCTGCTTTTGATTATCCTATATTAACATTCCAAAAACAAATAGAGTTATCATCACTACAGATGCTTGAGTAGTTCCATCTGGTGTGAAGCATATTGATAAGACAGCACCAGTATGACCATTCAATTTGCCTTTTTATTGTCCTGTCTTAACATCCCAAATATGGATAGACTTATCTGCACCACAAGATGCTAAGGTAGATCCATCAGGTGAGAAACAAATTGAGTAGAGAGTATCAATTTGATCATCCAATTTGCCTTTTTAATATCCTGTCTTAATATCCCATAAACTGATATACTTATCTGCACCACCAGATGCTAATGTAGTTCCATCAGGTGAGAAACAAACTGAGTAGACAGAAGCATCATGACCATCGAATTTGTCTTTTATTATCCTGTATTAATATCCCGTAAACGGATTGACTTATCTTCACTACCAGATGCTAAACTAGTTCCATCAGGGGAGAAACTTATTGATTAGACATAGTTACTATGACCTTTTAATTTGGCTTTTTATTATCCTGTCTTAACGTCCCATAAATGGATAGATTTATAACTACTCAATGCTAAAGTAGTTCCATCTGGTGAGAAACATACTGATAGCACACCATGGTGATCAAATAATTTGGCTGTTTATTATCCTGCCTTAACATCCCATAAATGGATAGATTTATC